AACGACAAAACCATCAGGCCTCCGTAAACACAGGCGCACTTGGACAAACAAGTTCACAGAAGCCTTCTTCAGGGTCAAGAAACAAGCTACGTAGTCCGAGGGCGGCGGCGACGGCCGGCCCGAGTCTGGGACGCAGACGCCGACCATGAGGCACCCAGCGGGCACCAAGCCTTCATGGTACACACGAGGTCCCCCCGACCCTGAAGTTCTTCACGCGGCAGCGCCAGCAGTCTGCTTTCCAAAGCTCGGGTCGAACCGCCTGCACAGGTCGGTCCCATCCGGCCTGCCCCGGCGGCCGCCCCGTCTTTCAGGGCGCCCCAGCAAGAACCCGGGGACCTGGCGACCGCAGAAGTCGCTCGGCGCCAGAGGTTTGCACATCGCGGTGGCTGCCAGTGTCCGGACCGGAGAGCAACCTTCCTCTCGGTGGCCTCGGGGCTCAGAGTCGGCCCCCGCCGCGGCCACCTTCGGCCTCAGTCCCCCGGGGCCGGACTGCCCCTTCCGCCCGGTGTCGCTCCCAGCACCCGCACCTTGTCTTCCCGGCTCGCCGTGGCCTAGAGCTCACAGAAAGGCAGCTCTGGGACTGGTCGTAAACCCCGCGACCAGTGGGGCAGACCCCCGAAGCATTGCGCTGGTCCCCCAGGCGCCCGGACTCACCACACCAAGTCTCCGAGCCGCAGACTCACAGCCGCCATCTTACCACCCAACCACCGCCGACGCACTGACCGCCGGGAACATCAGGTCGCCTCGGCGCCGCCCATTGGAGTGGACCCGACCACGTGACAGGGGCCGGCTGTCATCGGCCACGCCGCTGTTTGGACGTCACCGCGCCCGCCGGGCCTCATTGGGCGGTCGAGCGACACGTGACTCAAGCGCCGCGGTCTCCGCGCGCCGGAGCCCCAAGACTCCCGGCTTCTTCCCCCCTCCCTTCGGCTCGCTCGTGACAACGAAGCTCCCGAGGTCTGAGGCGGCGGCGGCGGCGGCGGTGGCGACGTCGGTGCGGCTGGCCAAGCGCGTGAGGGAGCCGGCCTCGCGGCCCGCCCCGCCCCTGAGGACCTGACGGACTCCAGTTCCCTATCCCCCGCGGCGTTTCTGTGACGGCCGTTACCTCTGTGCGCGGGCCCCGGGGCCACCCTCGAGCCTCAGCCGCCCAGCCGCGGCTCCGGGCAACTCCCCTGACGGACGTCGGTGCGGCCTGGAAAGCAGTCGCCGCCCGAGCCCGGGAACCCGCGCGGAGCGGGTTGTGTTTGGCCGCAGCCGCGAGGCCCGGGTCCCTTGTCCCCGGCGCTCCCGGAGGTGCGGGACGCGGCCGAGGCTCCCCGGCGCTATGGAGCGGCCGCCCGCCGGGAGGCGCGCCTGGGGAGCCGGCCGCTAGCGGCGCCGCAGCCCGGGCCGACATGAGGACGGCGGCGGCTGCAGCCTGCTTCGGCGCTGGGGACAAAGGTGCGTGTCTGACGTTGGGAGAGAAGTTGCGATCGGGCCGCCGGCTGCCCCCCCCGGGCTAGCAGCGCCCAGCCTGGGTTCAGTCCGTTACGTCCAGCGGCCTCCCAGACGTGCACTTGGCAGGGAGGAGACGCAAGTTGTAGCAAAGCGGAGGCCGTCACCCGGCCGCAAGGAGTCGTTCCGACGGCGTTCGGGTTGGATTGCCGCGGCTGAAAGGCTGTGGTTGGAAGCGGGGGTTAAGGCGCCATCTGTCCGCGGCTCGGTGGGTCTTCGGAACCCGGGGTTTCTGGAGTGTACATTCGTCTTAGGAACCTGTCACTGAACTCTGATCATTCGACACTTAGCGAGTTTTTAAATCCTGCTTTGTTTCAGCAGTCAAATGTTACTTAGGAGCAGCTGGGTTAAAGGTTGTTACTACAGACGCTAGTGTATCGTTTCCCACTCACATCCCAGAGTAGAACGGCCCTGAAGGCTTCCTGGGCACTTCCACTGAAGAACTGCCGTGGGGATTCGAACTGACAGTCTGTCACTTAGTTAAACTGTCCCGCCTCCTCCAGGGCTCGTCGGTAAAGACTTGAGTCAGACTCATAGTTTCCCAGATTGTGGCAGTCTGTCCACAAGCAGACTTCCACTGTAGTCCTGGTAGATTTGGGACCACCTAAGGAGCTCTGGTAGCGTAGTGGTTATGAATCCGCCTGCGAACTGTAAGGTCAGCAGTTCGAAACTACCAGCTGTTCTGCGGGAGAAAGATGAGGCTTTCTGCTCCCGCAAAGATTTACAGCCTCGGAGACCCTCACTATGAGTCGGAAACGACTCCACAGCATATAACAACAACATCACCACCTTTCTGTTAGCAGCAGAGTGGCTAGCCATACAAATTTTAAATCAACATACTGGACCTGGAAGAGTCAGTGCAGCTGGTATAGAATATATTATCTTTGTATACACACACACACACACACACACACACACGGGGTTTTCGTGGAAATATGGTATAAGAATATAATGGAATTTTACCACCAATTTTCCGAAGCCCCTTCATGGAAATCCTGCACAAGAGTCCCAATGAGTCCGAAGCGACTCAAAGGCTCCTAACAACAACAGCTCTTATCCTGGAAGTTCTAGCCAAGGTAATAAGACATGAAACAAAAATACCTTTTTAGGGGAAGAGAAAGGCAAAGTGATCATTTTGATGGATGAATGGATGGCCAAGTTGAAAAGGGGTCCTGGTGTCGTGCTGTACTAACTGCACGATTAGTGGTTCAAACCTACCAGTTGCTCCGTGGAAACCCTATACAGGGTCGCTGTAAGTCAGAACCAACTTGACAGCACTTAATTTGGGGGTGGAAAGACAGGCAAAAACCTTTAAGAAGAGTTCTGTACTACAAAATCAACATATAAAATACAGTTAGTTTTTGTGTGTTTTATCACTAATGGGTTTTTAATACGATGGTGAAAAGGTCTGGTTCACAATGACCAAAACATAATATTCCTGGAAGTGATTTGAGATACAGGCTTGAGTAAGTGAGGATAGCATTTCTTGGATAACATCAGTTGAGGTTTGTTGAGAGGAATGCTTTTGTGTACTGTTCAAGTCATTAAAGTTGTGTGTTTAAAAACTTAGCGTTTAGTAAGCCTGTAACTTTTATTCACAAGTATTGTTTTATTTACAAATCTAAGGATATTCATATAGAAAAAATTACTCTTTGGCAAAGGTTCAAGATATCAGATTAACATACTAAATTCACCTAAACAATGACTGATTCTTTACAAATGACTAATTAAATTCCTGTAAACTATGTTTAAAATTGTACATGCTTGATTCTCTCAAATACTTGATCAGTGCCAGGTTGGTGCTAGGAAGATGCTATGTTGGAATTTCACCTCAAGCTTTATAGCATAATAAATTTCACTTGGGTTAAAGAGTTAAATGAGAAAAATTATCTGTAAAAGACCAAATAGGTAAATTCTCAAACACGATCTGCTTAGAGAACAACTTTCTAGACATAAAAGAAATGGGCCCAATTTTGATTCCATAAGAAGTTAAACTTCCTTTCATCCTAAATGTTGATAAGCAAAGTTAAACAGGAAGTCACAAATCAGCCAGGTTAGTGTCCTTATAAGAGATAGGACATGCAAAGGACTGTCAAGAACCTTAGACACCAACACAAGTTATTAACCTATGCCTTTATACTTTCAGGTTGCTTCCATTGTTTTCCCAGGACTTAGAACCCGTTCTTTGGGTTTGACCCCCACTGCTGAAAATTTCATTTCCCAGGTATACTGAATCAGAGTCTACATTTTTAACAAGATCCCCAGGTGCTCTTAAGTATACATAGGATCACCTGGGGATCCGTAAGAACACACACAAATGCTGTGAACCCTTGGGATTCTGGAATATAGGATCTATCTTGACCACTACCAAGCAACTTTGCTGAGACCCACCATTTGAGGGAAGGGAGGCAGGTGTTCTCTTAGGCTATAAGCATGGCCACACCCTCGCGGTAAGCAGTTACTTTTGGAAGGGGTTGAAAACGTTTTCATTATGAAAAATTAGTCCCAAAGGAAAATAAACTGTGCCAAGGATTAAATCCAAGTGGTCTTTAAAAAGTGGCTATTCTGTAATGAAAAAGAAAGTGTTGGTTAAATTCCTGGGAAACTTTTCTGCAGAGGCATTTATTTGCAGCTTTGAGGATTCTAAAGGATTTCTCTACTGTGAAGGCTCTGCTCTATACATGCACATACACACACACCTTGGTGGTGCAATGGGTTCAGCCTTGGGCTACTACTAACTGAAAGGTTACTGGTTTGAGCCCAACAACCACTCCATGGGAGAACAATGTGGCAGTCTGCTTCCATAAAGAGTTACAGTCTCAGAACATGGACTCTGCCCACAGGGTCACTGTGAGTCAGAACTGACTCAACTGCAGTGGGTTTTTGGGTTTGTAGATTATGCAGACATAGAAAAACGACTGGAAGGAAATGATGTTCAACAGTGATTCTCTGTGGATGACAGGGGCCAACTCACAGCCGCCCCACAGGACAGAGTAGAACTGCCTCAGAAGGTTTCCATGGCTGTAATAGCTTGGTGTGGTGCTGTAGGATCAGCACTGGACTGCGAACCACAAGGTTGGTAGATCAAACCCACCAGCTGCTCCTTGGGAACCCTGTACAGGATCACTGTGCGCGTTGGAACTGACTCGACGGCTCTTTACCACAACAATCTTTACAGAAGCAGATTGCCTCATCTTCCTCCCACAGAGCAGCCAGTGGGTTTAAGCTGCTGACCTTTCAGCTAGTAGCCAAGCGTTTAACTACTACTCCATCTTGTGAAAATATATTTCGAATGTGTACGTTACTTAAGCAGGGAAAAAAAAAAGACCAGTTAATGATAATTAAAATAAGTTCAACAGTGGTTTTTTTCTTGATAATGGAATTCTTTTCAACTCGTATCCGTTGAATGGCAAAACCATTCTTTTCTCATCTTGGTTTGACCAGGTCCTTCTCTTCCACGTTAACAGAAGCCATGCAGTGACCACCACTCAGTCTTGCTGGTAACCATGTCGGAGCCCCACAGGGTCCAGTTCACTTCTCTCCCAGGGCCTCTGAATCCTGCGTTTTTGAAGAAATCTCGAAAGGAGGAGGTTGGGGGCACAGAACAGCATCAGGATTCTGAGCCGGCGGCAGCAGCCGTCCGAATCACACTCACCCTCTTTGAGCCAGATCACAAGCACTGCCCAGAGTTCTTCTACCCAGAGCTGGTGAAGAATCTCCGCGGGAAAGTGAAAGGCCTTCCTCCTGGAGATAAGGTAGGCTCTGGTGTCAGAGTGTTTTGCTGGGCCTGCTGTGCTCCACTCAGAGGACAAGCTAGGTTGCATCCCACCTGTGTGGTGTTTTGGTCTCTGTGGCACTATAGGATAAGCACTGGACCACAAGGTCAACTTAAACCACAAGGGCAGTGGCTCAAACTTACCAGCTGCCCTTTGGAAACCCTACATAGGGTTGCTACGAATCAGAACTGATACCATGGCCCTTAACAACAATAATGTGGATTGTGGGAAAGTTGAGCCAAGGGTAGTACTGGGTTCCCAGGGTGCTAGAGGGTGGGACGAGGTCAGGAGAAGGACGCACCCTAAGCCGTGGTGTTCTCTTTGTTTGGGTGAGCATGTTTGTTTAGGAAGGACCGTCCACTTTCTCTGTCAGCTAAATATGGGTTTTCTTGGTTGGTATTGACCTGAACTACAAGGTCATTTTGAACATCAAGATCGGTGGTTCAAGCTCACCAGCCACTTGGAAACCTTGTTACATGGTCGCTGTGAGTCGGAACTGACTCAACGGCACTAAACAACAGGAATCGGCTTGGCTGCTTGGAAGTCAAGTGAGTCTGTGTCAGAGGCCAGCCTGTGCTCTGAGGACCAGTTGGCCAGGATGAAAAGAAATCATTCCCAATTCCTTTTCCAAACTGGAAATGTTTTTGTCTTCTTTGAGAAGAAAACAGAAATCTGTAGAGGTTGGTTGTGGTGTTTATGTATGGGCTCAAGCCAAATCCATAGTTCACCTGAATTTAGCTCTCCAGTGTTCTGATCTCTCCTGTATTAGGTTCCTAATGCTCTTCTCAAGGAGCTCTGGTAGTGTAGTGGTTACGAATCGGGCTGCGAACCACAAGGTCAGCAGTTTGAAACTACCAGCTGTTCCATGGGAGAAAGATGAGGCTTTCTGTTCCTGTAAAGATTTACAACCTCGGAAACTCTGGACAGGGTCGCTATGAGTCGGAACTGACTCCATGGCACATAACAACAACCAGTGCCCTTCTCCACTTCCGAAACTGTCATAGAGCATGCACAGCGAGCTTTGGGTCTGGTCTCAGCAGAGTCATCCCTGGATTCCAAAATCTGTGTGTGTCTATTGTGCAGCCAGAAGTATCATATAACCTGCCAGACTCAGTTACTGATTGGTTCAGTGTGGTTCTTACACTGGGAAGGCTTGGGTCTGTCCGAGGACTCCAGGAGGGCAAGGCTACGAGGTTCCAGTGTGTTCTTCTGTGGGTCTCTTCCAAAGAAAACATGTTTAGACCTGTCAGCAGACAAGTTCTCTCAGTAATAAATACACTTACCTTAATCTCATTAGGGGGCCTTAGAAAAAGGACTCATCAGAACACTGGTTTCCAAAGACATCTGCTGGACTAGTTACATTTAGGGTAGAGAGAGCAACTCAGAAGGTGATGGTGACTGGTCTTTGAAAGCTTTTTCTCAGAGGACATTGGATGATCACAAGGGTTTATTAGGAAGAAGTTTAAGGAAAGTTGGAAACTGAATTGGTGGGGAAAATGCCAGGAAAGTTGTGCCAAAGTATTTTTTGTTTGTTTGTTTTAACCATTGTGACAGTGCACACCTGTTCATCCTTGGAAGGTAGCAAAGACTGCCCTACGAGAATTTCCTTGGGAAAACTTACCCTATCACCCTTTTTATCCCTGATTTTGTCCCTTCAGACATTTTGTGCCCCAAACTCAAAAAATGTTGAAAAGGCACACACTTTTGAGTCCCTCGAGGATGCCCAAACTGCTGTTTTGATGTGGTATAAATTGAAGATCGTGGAATTTTTCAGGGAAGGTTGTTGGTGGTGGTGGTCATGTGCCGTGGATTCGGTTCCGACCCATAGCAACCCTGTACAGGTTTCCAAGGCTGTAAATCTTTATGGGAGCAGAAAGCCTCATCTTTCTCCCACAGAACAGCTGGTAGTTTCGAACTGCTGACCTTACGGTTCGCAGGCGGATTTGTAACCACTATGCTTCCAGATCCTCCTTCTAAGTCTGTGTACTTCTGACAGTGGTGTTTCCATACTTCTGACTGTGGTGTTTCCATCTCTCTAACCTTTCCCTGGGTTAGAGAGATGGAAACACCACAGTCAGAAATACTTAGACTTAGAAGGAGAGTATGTGGAGAAAAAATAGCTTCACATTGGATAATATATTTACCAAATGTTTCTTTGATTTTGTAGCAATACTTTTAATCTGATACATTTATTAAGTCCTGTTGTTTATGTTTCTTTCAGTGGGAAGCTACTGTTCCCACCTCAAGAGGACTTGCAATTTTGTAGCTGTTTCAGTAGAGTGATGACAACAAAGTAACAGAAGTTAAAGTGTGCTATTGTATAAGTTTGGTATAAATACAGGCCTTTGTACTATTGTATAAGTTTGGTATAAATACAGGCCTTTGAGGGCTTGGAGAAAGGAAGGATAATTTACATGCCAGTACTTGCTTGGACAGATATAGGAGTTCATATATCCAGGAGTGGTTCTTAGAAGACTGCTGTTTGCAAGGCATTGGAAGTCCATGTTGAATCCAACCAAGACTGCTCAAGATTGGTGGAATTTCTTAAAATTATATTAGTCACTTCAGTTATACGTGGTCATTGTAGAAAAGTTAAAAACATAGATAAGCACGTTTTAAAGACCACCTTGTATGGTACATACATTGTATGTGTGTTTTATAATATCCCATTGTACAAACGTAGCATAAATGATCTAACTGATCCTTTATGGGTGGGTGGAGACAAGAGAGTGAGAAAAAGTTTGGTTTTCAAACAGGCATCTAGTCTTTAGTGATTTTGGTCTGCTGTAAAACATACTTGGTAGAGGAGTCATTTATTAAAAGTAAGACTTTTTGCCCAAGAAGCTTAATGTACAACTCTGAAAAAATTATAAGTTTATGAGTAGAAATAAAGTTTGGAAGACCACAGAAATTATTTGGAATGAATATAGAGATTGGCATATGAAAGATGGACAAAACATAAAGAAGACCAAGAGAGATCTATGCCTTTGAATTATGGTGTTAGTGAAGCATGTTAAATACACTGTGGACAAATCTGTGTTGGAAGAAGTACAGCTAGAATGTTCCTTAGAAGTAAGGATGCTGAGTATTCATCTCACCTTCTTTGGACATGTCATCAGGAGGGATCCGTCCTTGGAGAAGGACAGGGTGTTTGTTAAAATAGAGGGTCAGGAAAAAAGAGGAAAATTCTCAATGGGATCGATTGACACATTGGCTGCAACAGTGGTTTCAAACAGCAGTGATGGTGAGGATGGTACAGCACTAGGCAGCACTTCCACTGACTGCACACAGGGTCGCTATGAGTTGGAACTAACTCTGTAGCACCTTACAACAGTAAAACGTTTATAATAGGAGGACAAGAGGAGATTGATGCCTGACCCTGAAAGATAGGCTTCCCAGGTCAGAGTGCACGAGCCTGGAATTGAGTCTCGGTAGCATCGAAAATGGAGAGCCTTGCTCCCAAACAGTACTCAACAGCTTGCACGACCTTCAAGGGTTCTGAACCTTGTTTGAGCCATTGGCCACTTTGGAAATCTGGGGAAGCTTTTATGGACTCTCTCCTAGAATGAATAATCTCTGAAATGTGTACGATAACTTTGAGGTTTACAAAGGACATTGTTGCTGTCGAGACCCAATTCTCTACAGGGTGAGCATCCTGGGCTGAAGGCCCTTGGCCATATTCAGAGCTCTGCAGCACCTACTGCCATGGGGGGTCAACTGTAGGCCTGCCTTCTGCTTTTGTTGAATTCCACAAATGGAAGCGGTACCTTCTTAAAGAAACAAACAACCAAGGCAGACACTTTGAAAATGGTCACACATTTGTGTGAAATGGCCTTTTCAGAAGGACAGTTACTGTTATTGTGCAGTGTGTAGCTGTGAAGTGGTCAGTAAAGCTTCTCCAAATAGGCTTGAGGAGCTTTGTAGAACTTACGTTTTTGTGGAAATGGTTTCCTTACAGAAAAAAGATCTCTTGGATCCCTTCAATGACGAGGAAAAGGAAAGGCATAAAGTGGAGACCCTCGCCCGGAAATTTGAAGAAAAATATGTAAGATTTCTCTCGTGGGGTGGGAGAGGTGACCAGGTATTTTCACTCCCTTTACTGAATTGCCTCTAAATCCACCCCCATCTGGATGCCAGCACACAGCGTGGATAGACAAGAGTACAATAATGACAGAAACACATGAGCAGACAGAAAATGCTCTGGCAGGGAATAATTAATTGCATGTTGTTAAGTGGACTCATTGTGTGGCGCTGTAGGATCAGCACTAGGTTGTGAACCTTACGATCAGCAGTTCAAACCTACCAACTACTTCTTGGAAACCCTACATTTGGGTTGCTAAGAGTCGACATCGACTCAATGGCACAAGCGGACAAATGAACAAGAGAGACTTACTCTCCCTTGGATTAAATGCTGGATATGAAGAGTAAGAAGCCATTTAGTTCATTCTTAGACCATTTTGTGCAGATAAAAGTCTGTTTCGTTTTGAAAAGGAAAGCTGGTTGTATGTAGGGTGGGGTGGGTGGAAGGGTGAGGAGTGACTGGTTCTTGTGCTTCATGACAGTTAGTCACTAGTAAGGTTAAGGCAGTGATGAATTCCATTTGAGTCTTTATCAAAAACCATGTGCTATGTCGTTTTGAAATTAATTTTAGGGTGGAAAGAAACGTAGAAAAGACAGAATCCAAGACCTGATTGACATGGGGTACGGTTATGATGAATCTGACTCCTTCATCGATAACTCTGAGGCCGTAAGTGTGTCATGAGGTGTCACATTGCAGCACCCATGCTCCCAGCCATAACGGCCAGGAAACGGGGGAGGATGAACCCGAGGGGTGTATAACCAGAGGGGTGGACAAGGGAAGCAACACTCTGTCCAGGCCTGTCTAGAAAGCCTGTTGGTCTGGCAGGCAGTGTTCACATGCCCTTCAACGTGTGACAGACGTGCCAACATCTGTGCTCTGGGGATTGACTTTGTGCCTTTGGCGTACCGTTGGAAGCTGACAGTTTGTCTTATCTCCTCAGTATGATGAGCTTGTTCCTGCATCTTTGACTACCAAGTATGGAGGATTTTATATTAACTCGGGGACCTTGCAGTTTCGACAGGCGTCAGAATCTGAGGATGACTTCATTAAAGAAAAGAAGAAAAAGTCCCCAAAGGTTAGAACGTTGCTTGCTCCTGGTTTTTCAAAATGCTCCTTTATGCAACTGTGAGATGCAGAAACGTGGTGGGGTAGCTGGGGAGATTGGGAAGGGGGTGGCGGTACACCTTCTGTCTAGTTGGGCAGCTGGCCCGCTCAAGGTGCTATGACCATAGAGGACTCGGCTTAGACCCTGGGCGCTACACAGTGGCATCTGCCCAGGAACTGCAGGGATTGCTTCCTCTAGGTGGTCTCAGGGTGGGGACGAGGTCAGGGAACGGACGTACACATCCAGACTGTGTCTGCTATGGATCGTAGAGCACTTCACTTTCCAGAGCTGTCAATCCCATGAGAACAAGCCCACAACGCGTCTGCCAGGACCCACCAACCCTTGTGGGGAGTTCATTTCTGTCTAGAAAGGTTTTCTCTCTGGCTGCAGGGTGGTCTACTGCTGCCTCCAGCCCCCAGCTCTCCAGGAGATGCCGGAAATTGGTATGTGGTGTCGTGGTTCTGGGTCCAGAGACCCACTGGAAAGTTCTTGTTCAAGGAGAAAGGAAGACCAGTGTGGGTTTGGATCCCTGGTGGGACAAGGCTAGTGCTGTGACTTGCTCCCTGAGCTAGAGAGGCCAGGGTAACTGTGTCTTGTCTTTACTTCTCAGAAGCGAAAGTTGAAGGAAGGTGGTGAGAAGATAAAGAAGAAGAAAAAAGATGACACTTATGACAAGGAGAAGAAATCGAAGAAGTCCAAGTTTTCTAAAGCTGGGTGAGAGAGCGGCATCAGATTCTTTGTGAGGGTAGAATTGGGGCTGCTGGGTCAGGACACTGGGGGCTGACCTGCCATCTCCCACAACTTCAGGAGAGGCAGAAGGACCTGGCCTCTGGGCAGTTAGTGGTCTCACACGTGTGTCAGATAGGTTTTCTCTGTACCTCTGTCAGTGTTGGCAGCTGTTTCTGTCATGTGTGATGCCGGTGTTCCGTGGCCTCCTGGGCACATCTCTTGGCTCCATTCTCGCCGTCTCCGCCTTCTCCTTTGTCTTCTGCGTTCTGGCTTCCCTTTCCTCACTCAGGCTCACCCCAGCTGCTCTGCATGTAGTGGCTCTTCTCTGCTGCTCCTGCTCTTTCCCCTTAAAGGTTTCTCCTGTGCGTTTTCTTTTTCTGGTGGGAGATGGGTGTTTTTCAGTCTTTTATATCAGCCTGGCAGTGATTGTTAAAAACCTGTCGGACACATAGCATTCTGTGACGTCATATCACTCCCTGTGTTAGATCTCAAACTTTGGTCTTAGCATGAGCACCACATGCCAGGAGGAGGGGAGTGGTGACGGGGTGGCCTGGTGATGGTGGCAGTCCTGCCCCAGTACTTTGGGCACAGGGGTGACCTCCTGCAGCCTTCATAACTGACTCCCCTCTTGCTTGCAGCTTTACAGCCCTCAATGCCAGTAAGGAGAAGAAGAAGAAGAAATACTCTGGGGCTCTGAGTGTTAAAGAGATGTTGAAGAAGTTCCAGAAGGAGAAAGAGTCTCAGAAGAAGAGGGACGAGGAGCACAAGGCCCCAGCAGTCTCATCCACCGCAGCCCCGAGCCTGAGGGAACTGGACGGTCCCCCCGACCCCTTGCTCTCACTCTTTGGCTCCACGTCTGACAACGAGCTGCTGCAGGCCGCCACAGCCATGGACGCTCTCACTGACTTGGACTTGGAGCAGCTGCTCACTGAGTCTCCAGAAGGAAGCCCCTTCCGAGAGACGGAGGACGAAAGCGATTCCCTCGGGGTGGGACTGGACCCGGAATTCAGGCAGCCCTCCTCCCTCCCCGAAGGCCTGCCTGTGCCCTTGGAGAAGCGCATTAAGGAGCTGGCTCAGGTATGGTGACAGTGTGTGCTGGGGCAGAGTGACGCTGGGGCTACACCACAGGAAGCTCTCTGCCCAGAGAGAAACCTTTCCTTAGTGAGCTGGCCATTAGCGCCCACCTCACTTCTGAGGGGCAGAGCTGGGTGCGCTTTGGCCCTCAGGCCTTCTCCTCTTCAGGCCTTTCTTGGTTCCGTCACTCCTGGAAAATTTGCTTTCTCCTAGGGAGGTTTTCTCACCGTCTGTTTTCTGCTTGTCACTTCCTGTCCCTAGGAGTATCTTCCCTTTGGTGCCCTGGACTGACGCTCATGTGGGCAGTGGGCATCTGTGGCCAAGACTCTCAACTCTTTAGCATTCTCTTGAAGGTTTTGGAAATTGACCAAGCTTTGCCCACCTCTAAAGTACATACAGTGTATGCGCTTCCTTACCATTAGCGTTCTCCATTGCTGCCTTCAAAGGCGTAGCTTCCCTGTTAGGGAGTGACAGCAGGGATGCCTAAGTTGTGACGTAAGAAAAGCAGCTTAACGTTAAATGCTATCCATACCCCATGAGAAACGCTAGCAGCAACTTGAAAACACAGCAGCCATCACTGCTGCTTCCCCAGAGATGGGGAAATGATCCCTGGCGAGCTCCGTAACACATCACAAACTAGAAACCAAACAGCAACTGTTAACTAGGATGACATTTACCTGTTAAAAGAAAAAAAAAAACCAAATCCTCCTACCTTAAGCATGCTGACGTGCACTGCATCTCCAGGGGCATTTCTGCTCGGTGGCACAAGCTTCAGGGTGAAATGCGAAGAACCACTGCTACACTTGCTTTGCTCATTTCCCCCAAACATCTGAACACAAGCTATGAAGTGAATAAAACTCGTACTCAGCTCTCTAGCTCGCCCTGGTTCCCCGTGTGCAGTGTCGTACGTTGTCTGTCTGACTGTAACAGTTTGAGTAAGTGTTGCCACAGCAGGTACTCCGAGCATAAAGACGGGAAGGAGGTAAATCTGAGCTTGGCATGCTTGAGCATACAAGCCTATGTTTGCTCTCAGAATTCATGTTTGTTTTTTCAAAAAGCATATTACTCCTTGTTCTTTTCAGTCCGGACGGCTTGCGAGTCAATGGTTTTGTAGCTTCTGACAGGCTTGTTAAATAAGTAAGGTCTGTGTGTGACAGTAGCCAGTCATTTCTTAGAGAATAGTCAAAATAGAATTCTTGGATGGTTTCCCCCGCTTCCCTTCACAGGTTAGGTTTGAGTTGGATTAACTTAGACTCATTATTGCACTGTTTCTGGGGGAAGATATGGACACATTTAGTGGCAACAAGTGGCGTAATACACAACAGCATGAGTTTGTGATGCAAGAAACCCTCATGTTCCAGAGTCTGCTTAACAGACAAACCGTTAGCAAGCTGTCCTCCCTCAGTTCTTGTTAAGTCCTGGTTATCTGCTTGGACGTGGGGGACATAGGCTTTGGAATCCCATAGCCAAGATAGGTGAGGTGGTGACCAGGAGAGATTGACTTCCTGCTTTGAAAATCTAATGTTCAAGTATGAAATGGGCACTTGAGTTGTTACCTGACCCTCTGCCTTCTACAGCATCGAGAAACATTGGAAAATGGGATGTAAAGTGTGTGGAAATGACCCGTCATCCCACTGATCTAAAAACACTTTTCAATTGACCTATTCCTTTTTAGCTTCTGTGTACGTATTTTCATGCAGTTGTAATTATAGTTGTGAATCATTGTTTCTTGCTCCTTTCAATAAATATGATTACAAAGCCCTCATCATTTTTAACGGTTGCTTTGAAAAGCAGGCTGACTGTAGAACGTTACTTAGTACCACACTAGTGAGTCTCCTTGGGCTCCTTTCCAGCCAGGGCGCTGCACTTGGGGGTTTGCAGACCCACATGCAGTGTTCTTCCCAGGGTGTTCTCGACCCAGACCCTTGTAAGAATCTGTTGGAAAATTCTTCCCAGGGAAGCAAAGGCAGATGGACACGAACATTACACATCGTTACAAGAGCCGTACACATGCGTGTCTTTCCGTAAGAAGGAGCCCCGTCCTAGGTCTTGAAATGGACGTTGTAGTTTTTCAAGTTTAAATTAAACTCAGTGTTGATAACTACAGTATTAGAGACATTACATGTTTCTCACTTTATTTTTCATTCTTTTCCTCAACTTTTTCTATTTTATAATAATGTTAGTTCGATTTTAAATCTTGGCCCTAGGTGACACACATATCATGTGCTGATACATTTTTATGGCTGTCTAGAAAACCACCCTAAAACTTGGCTTAAAACTGCAATTCACATTTTGAGATTGCGTAGACTTACCTGGGATTTCTCCTGTGGTGACATTCAGCTGGCACGTTGCTAGGTGCTGGGTGGCTGTGGTGGCAAAGGGGCCTCTCTCTCCTCTAGGCTTCCATTCAAGGCTTCTTCAGGGCACGGGGATCTCGGCAGCATTTTAAGAGGGTAAAGGCAGTAGCTGTGAGGCCCTGCTCTATTGGTCAAAGCCAGTGGGAAGAGCAGCCCAAACTCAAGGGTTCGGGCCCCTCCCTGCCGTGGAGTGCTTGCACCAGGTGGGAGGGGAGGAATTTGCAGTTGTGTTTTGTCCATGTGCTGACTTGATTCTGATCCGAGTCCATCCCTTCAAAAATACCCTTTCTTTGTAGAGATCAAAAATTTGCTTTCTCCTCTCACTAAATGAGACACTTAAAGCTTAAGAAAAAAACAAAACAAAACAAAAAACCACATTAAAAAACGGTATCATGCTCCGGAAACTCTCCAGCCTTGGTGGCTGCCTGTGGGCTGTTTCTCATCAACCTCTCATGTCAGCCCAGCTTTCATGCCTGCGACCCTTGTCCCATACATTTGTATGGGACCCAGGGACCCAGTGATAGGGCTTCATGGTCTGTTTGTGTCTCTTTGGTCTTGGTCCTTGGAAGGCACAGGTGCTGAGGGAGCTCAGAGGTCACCTGGATGTCGTTTGTCAGCTATTCATCTGATTCCACAGATGACCCAGGTCTGCTGTGGCTTGCTTTGGTCAAGCATAAATGGGAACAGCACGAAGGGCAGAAAAGCAGCAGAGAGCCCAGGTCCCCCACCCCTCTGCTCTATCCTTTCACCGTTTGCCCTTCTGTAGATTCAGGACCCCTATACCACAGAGACCTCAGGGAAAGGGGATAGAGCAGAAGGAAATAAGGTGGCCAGGGGTGGGCGGGGGAATAGAAGCCAACCTGTTTGCTATTTCTAAAAAAAAAAGCTTACCAGGTTTGATTTTGCTCAGGAAAAAACAGGTGCAATGCTTAAGGTTCTGTGCTCAGGACTGAGAAACTACGTGTGGCATTTCTCACAGTAAATAAAAGTGCTCCATAAAAGGCTGTTGGAACCACATTTTCCACATATAGTGTGCACACACATTGAACACGCCCAGGGAAATAACACACATGCATATAACGTGCATGCATAGAAAAACCGCATGTGAGGGGATTGTGTGGCTTGCAAAAAAACTACGTAGCATGTACGTTTTTTGCATAATATTGCAGTATTGCCAAGCAACATGATCAGGGTGTTTATTGTAGCTTCAATTCCCACTTAATTTAAGATTCATCTCTTGATACAATGCCTGGAACCAGGTGTCTCTTCCTAGGGTGGAGGGGCCTCACTGGCCTCTGGAAGACTGAGATACGCTGGAAGACCGTAGTTAGACTTTTTAAACTAATGATCGTCAATATCAAAACAGTTTACACTACTCAAAAGTAAGCTTTAGGGGGAAAACAATCATCTTTTACAGATCATCTAGGTGGGAAACTGCAGAAGTGTTGGAGAAATAGCTCCCACCTCAACATGAAATTTGACTCAGAACACACTGTGGATGTGGACACGTTCATGTGATTTGGTTGGATTCACAGGAAAGTGCTTCTGGGCCTGAGCCAAAGAACAAAAGAGTGACTTCGTTCTAGTTTTGTGCAAACTAAAGTCATAATTCCAGTACGTTAAAATTGCAAAGGCAACATCCTGGTACTTATGAAGGTATAAGAAATTAGCAGATGAATATGGGCTTTGAAAAAACCACATCTTTCCCTTTCCATTAAGGAACTCTGGTGGTGCTCTGGGTTAGGCATTATGCTGATAATCCCAACGTCAGCAGTTCAAACCCACCAGCTGCTCCCCAGGAAAAAGATGAGGCTGTCTGCTCCAGTAAAGGTTTACAGTCTCAGAAACCCCACAGAGGGTCACTCTGAGTCAGAAGCGACAGTGGGTTTGATGTGTCAGTTCCCCATCCGTCATCCCTTTTGTCTCCGGTTTCTGGGCCCTCCTCTAGCCAAGAGTTCCTCTGAAGCTTGACTTTTCTCCAAGTTGTTTCTGGTTGCCTCTGTATTTAGCTTTCCTTCCTCTGGTTTTCCTCCCATGGTATCTGTTTATTTGTGCGTTTACTCATTCATCTGCTCAGCCAACGCTAGGTATCTGTTAAGAAAGCAGGCAGTCTGTCAATGAACGACATTTGCTTCTTGTCCTCAATGAGCTACTGCTTATGTGAATGGATCAGTAAACAGCCAGACCACTGACTGAGGGCAGAGCAGAGTAGAAGGAACACTGTGATGGTGGGCAGGAGGTAAGAGAGTCATGGTGAGCAGGCACAGGTCAGTTGGCCTTATGATGTGCCAGGACACAGAACCGAGCAGAGACAGTCATTAAATGACAGGAGCCCTGGGGTGTCGGAGGACACTGGGTCCAGACCCCAGAGGACTTAAACTGCTATGTGAGGACACTGGAAAATCTCTGCTGGGCTCTGAAGAAGGTGTAAAAGGACATAGGAAGGATGGGAGAGCTCTCACCAGAACAGCAGGTGTAGTTCAGGCCAGGCCAGGCTTGCAGAGCAGAGGGTCATCTTTGACAGAAGACCATTGGGTGACTGAATTCTCACCTGGAGCATACACCTAGATGGGCCTGACAGGAAGGTAGCAAGAGAGCCCAGAGAATGTATGGAGAAGAGGATGGATTTGCAAGGTCTGCAGTCTCAAGGTTGGTTAGGACGGACCCTTTCGTTCTAGATGCCCCTCTATGGCTCTTGTTTGCCACCATTATTGCATATCAAGTGTGATTTCAGAAATTTGATTTTGCCTAAAGCATTCAGCGTAGTGGTTACGAATCGGGCTGTGAACCACAAGGTCAGCAGTTCAAAACTACCAGCTGTTCCACAGGAGAAAGATGAGGCTTTCTGCTCCTGTAAAGATTTACAGCCCCGGAAACCCTGTACAGGGTCGCTATGAGTCGGAACCGACTCCACGGCACATAACAACAACAACAAAAGCCTTCAGACCAGTGACTAGTTGTTCTCCACCCTCTCTGCAAATTAGAATCATCAGGGTCTCTTTAAAAAAGAAAAAAGTTCTTTTTAAACTGTTTATTGCAAGCTGGGTTAAGGTTTACAGAGCATAGTCAGTTTTCCATTCAACAATGCATACACGTGTTGTTTCATATCATTGATTGCCGTCCCCCAATGTAACAGGGCCCATCCCACTTCCTCCCTGTGTTTCCTGTTTGCATTCCTCCTCCTCTCCTACTCTTCCTGCCTTCTAAACTTGGTCCTTGGGCAGGTGCTGCCCTTTTGATTGCGAATGGTGGTTCCTTCTAAGAAGTGCGTCCCTCCGTTCCCCTTCTAGACCTGTCTGTTGTCTGGTGAATTCAGTTCCAGACACTAGGGTCACTTTTGAGGAATACTTACTGCTGGGCTTCATCCCCAGAGAGTGACGTCATTTTTCTGAGAGCCACTGGTTTAGGCTGCTACTGGGTCTGCTGTCCTGACGTCCTCCCTCAGAGAGATGCCTTTGATTTTGATGTGCTTGCTTCCAGCAGTGTCAGGTGGCCACTTCCTCCAGGGTGCTGACTGTGGTCTTGTGGGAAGCAGAAATGCCGCTACTGTAAGCAGTCCGGTGTGGGGGCCATTCGATGGCCCAAGTGAGAGAGAGTTTGCAATGTGTAGCATTAAGTAGATGATGATTTTTCCGAAGAATTATCTTACTGTTAGGTGCCATCGAGTCTGCACCGACTCATAACAACCCCTGTGCACAACACTGCCGGATCCTGGGCCAACCTCACAATCATTGCTACGTTTGAGCTCATTTGCTGCAGTCACTGTGCCAGTCCAGTTTGTTGTGGGCTCTTCCTCTTTTCCTCCTACCCTTCATGTTACCAAACTTGATATCCTCCTCCAGGGACTGGTTCCTCCTGATAATATGTCCAATGTATGAGAGAGGAAGTCTGGCCATCCTGGCTTCCAGGGAGCATTCTGGGTGTACTTCTTCCAAAACAGATTGGTTTGTTCTTTTGGCAGTCCATGATACTTTTAATGTTCTCCAGCACCATAGTTCAGACTCATCAATTCGTCTGTGGTTTTGCTTATCACTGTCCAACTTTTACATGCATGTGAGGTTGTTGAAAATACCATGGTTTGGATCAGGTACACCATAGTCCTCAAATTGACTGACGTCTTTGCTCTTGAGCACTTTAACAAAGTCTTGTGCAGCAGATTTGCCTAATGCAGTACATTGTCTGATTTCTTGACTGCTGTTTCCATGAGTGTTGATGGTTGATCTGAACAAAATGAAATCTTTGACAACTTCAATCTTTTCTCCATGAATATGAATGTTGTTTATTGGTCCAGTGATAAGGATTTTTGTTTTCTTTACATTGAGATGCAACCCATACTGAAGGCTGTAGTCTTTGATCTTCATCAGCAATCAAGGTTGTATCACTGCATATCGTAGATTGTTAATGTGTCTGCCTCCAATCCTGATACCACGTTTTTCTTCATATACTCCAACTTCTTGAATTATTTGCTCTGCATACAGATTGAATTGTTGCTGTTGTTATATACTGTGGAGTTGGTTCCGACTGTAAATCTTTACGGGAGCAGAAAGCCTCATCTTTCTCCTGTGGAACAGCTGGCAGTTTCGAACTGCTGACCGTGATATTAGCAGCTTGATTCGCAACCGCTGTACTACCAGAGCTCCTTACAGACTGAATAAGTATGGTGAAAGAATACAACCCTTGTGCACACCTTTCCTAATTTTAAACCATTCGGTGTTCCTTTGTTTTGTTCCAACAGCTCTATGTACAGGTTCCTCATTAGCACAATCAACTGTTCTGGAATATTCATTCTCAGCAATGTTGTCCATAGCTTGTCATGCTCTACACAATTGAAAGCCTTTGTGTAGTTAGTAAAGCACAGGTAAACATCTTTCTGGTATTCTATGCTTTCAGGCAAGATCTGTCTGACATCAGCAATGATATCCCTCATTCCACGTCCTCTTCTGAATGTGTCTTGAACCTCTCTGGATCTTCTCTGTCAGTGTAGTTGCGGTCGTGTTTGTATTATCTTTAGCATAATTTACTTGTTTGCAATATTAATGATATTGTCGATAATTTTCACATTCCGTTAGGTCAACTCTCTTTGAAATAAGGATCTCTTCCAGTCAGTTGGCCAAGTAGTTGTCTTCCAAATTTCTTGGCATAAACGAGTGCGTGACTCCAGTGCTGTATCAGTTTGTTGGAGGATTTCAGTTGTATTCCATCAATTTCTGGTACCTTCAGTGCACCTTGGACTTCTTCATTCAGTATCATTGGCTCTTGGTCATATGCTACCTCTTGAAATGGTTGAACATCGACCATTTCTTTCTGGTACAGTGAGTGTACATTCTTTCTATCTTCTTTTAATGCTTTCTGCATCATTCCGTATTTTGCCCATAGAATCCTTCAATATTCCAAGTAGAGGCTTGAATTTTTTCCTTCGGTTTCCTCAGCTTGATAAATATCAAGCATGTTCTTCCCTTTTGGTTTTCTAATTCCTGGTCTTTGCACATTTCATTGTAATACTTGACTTTGTCTTCTTGAGCTGCCCTTTGAAATTTTCTATTCAGTTCTTTTACCTCCTCATTTCTTCCATTTTGATCTTTTCCTTCTTTCTTGTCTTCTTAATGACTTTTTGCTTTCTTCATGTATGGTGTTCTTGATATCATCCCACAGCTCTTCTGGTCTTCGTTCTTTAGTGTCTAACGCATCAGATCTGCCCTTCAAATGACCTCTGAATTTGCATGGGATATGTTCAAGGTCATATTTTGGCTCTCGTGGACTTGTTTAAATTTTCTTCATCTTCAGCCTGAATTTGCATATAAGCAATTGATGCCCCTGGCATTGTTTTGGCTAATTTATATGGAGCTTTCCCACCATCTCTTTCAACAGATGTAGTCAGTTTGATTTCTGTGTAGTCCATCTGATGAGGTTCATGTGTGTAGTCCATCTGATGAGGTTCATGTATGTAGTCATCTTTTATGTTGCTTAAGAAGTATTTGCAATGAACAAGTCATTGCTCTTGCAAAATTCTATCATGCAATCTCCAGCATCATTTCTATCACCAAGGCCATAATTTTCAACTGCTGATCCTTCCTCTTTGTTTTCAACCTTTGGATTACACTTGCCAGTAATTATCAATACATGTTGATTGAATGTTTGATCAATTTCAGACTGAAGAAGTTGATAGAATTCTTCAATTGCATCCTCACTGACTTTAGTGATTAGTGTGTGAATCTGAATAATAGTGGTATTGAATGGACTTCCTGTAGGAGTATGGATATTATCACAGACAGCATTGTACTTCAAGACAGATCTTGCTTGATAAGTTCTTTCTGATGATGAACGTGATGCCATTCCTGTTCAATTAGTCATTCCCGACAAAGTAAAGTATATGATTGTCAGATTCAAAATGGCCAATACCAGTCCATTTCAACTCACTAATGCCTAGGATATCGATGTTTATGTGTTCCATTTCAATTTCGACAATTTTCATAGATTCACACTACATGCATTCCATGTTCTGATTATTAATTAATGGATGTTTACAGCTGTGTTTCTTCACTTTGAGTTGTGTCCCGTCAGCAAATGAAGGTCCTGGAAGTTTTATTCCATTCTTGTCATCACAGTCTACTTTACTTTGAGGAGGCAGCTCTTCTCCAGCCATATTTTGAGTGCCTTCCAACCTGAGGGGCTCGTCTTCCGGCATTATATCTAACAATACTCCGGTGCTCTTCATCATGTTTCAGTATTCAATATTCTGGTGCTGACAGTGTTCCACTGCTAGTCAGTCATAAGGTTTTCAGTGACTAAATATTCAGAAGTAGTTTGTCTCTCCTTCTTCCTAGTCTGTCTTAGTCTGGAAGCTCAGCTGAAATCTGTCCACTCTGGGTGACCCTACTGGTGTTTAAAATACCTGTGGCAAAGCTTCTAGAATCATAGCAGCATGCAAGCCACCACCGTCTGACTCACTGACAGATGAGTGGTGAACTGTATAACATCTTTAAATGCTTTGCATCATCTCTTCCCCGTGGAAAAAGGCTTTCAAATCATGGGTTTGTTGAAAGTCTTCATTGTTTCTGTGCTGTGGATTGAGGGATGTTCCTATTCGTAGTGTAGCCGATTGGCTGCTGTGAGAGTCAGCCTCAGTACCAGCTCGTCCATTTCCCACGGTCTGTGGCACTGATCTTGTTTCATTCTCGTTTAGTTGATGGTTGTTTGTAAGTCCTGGGAAGACCTAGTCGGTCCTTGGCTGGAGCTACCATTTCTGGAAAACAGTGGCCACGAGCAAACTTAACCTGGGATCGGGGCAGGGGAGGGGAGGCGGTGGCAGCGCAGGGTTTTCTGGTAGAGGTTCGGCTGGGACTGTGGGTGAGCAGGGAGCTGCTGTACGTGCACTAACAGATGTTCATGTCTGACGAACCAGGCTGCCAGAGCTGCTGAGGGGGAGAGCAGGCAGAAGTTCCTCACCCAGGGCATCAACGGCATCCTGTTAGAGTGAGTACCTCTTGTTTGTTTGCTCGCTCGCTTACCTGTTTGTGTCTGCTGCTATTACCGTGCCTGGGGAGAAGAGGAGTAAGGCTAGAGACCAGATGGAGAGTAAGAAGTTGAGTTACTTAAAGCTGAAGATAAAATCATTTTTACTGTTCTATTTGTCGGTGTTAAGTGCCGTCAAATTGGTCCAACTCATAGAGACCCTGTATTAGGGTTTCTAAGGAGCAGATGGAGGGTTTGAACTGCTGACCTTGTGGTTAGCTGGCCAATGCTTATCCTATTGTGCCACACCAGGACTCTATTACTCTATTATTCTAGTTTTTGGTGGTTTTTTTTTGTTTTTTTTAAAAGGAGCCCTGAAGGCTTGACTTTAACCACAGAGTTGGTGGTCGGAACCTACCAGCCTCTGAGAAAGGTGTGGAGTCTGCTTCTGGGAAGGTTTGCAGCCTTGGTGGTCCTGTGGAGCGGTGCTGCTCTGCCCTCTAGGTCGTAGCCCTGTGAGTCGGAGTCGACTCCGCAGCAATGGGTTTGACAGGTTCTATTTTTAAAGGGTGGTGGTGGTGGTGGTGTGGAGTCAGTTCTGACTCATAGTGACCCTGTATAGGGTTTCCGAGGCTGTAAAGCTTTACAGGAGTAGAAAGCCTCATCTTTCTCCCACAGAGCAGCTGGTAGTTTCGAACTAGCTGACATATGAGGAGGCTTCAGATCGTCTGTGGAAAAATTCTATCTTTTCATTACAGTTTTCCATGAATGTTTGGAAGCACCCATGTCTATTTGTCTCCAGGAAATGATAGGCCTTGTTAGTTGTAGGCAGCGGGTGTTGTTACAATACTGTGTGTATAAACGTCAGAGGCCTGTGGAGGGGTCTTCTTGGCAGGTAGGAGATTGAAGAGAGAATGCTGTGTTTGCTGCCTCTGAGAATCCAGAAAAAGAGGAGTCAGCTCCATCAGAAGCCCCTCAGGTCATTGTTCCACACTCCATGACCACGACTCCCACACACCTGTGCCTCTGAGCAACTACACTGTCTGAACTGGATTGTGCTTGGGTGCCATCGAGTCGCTTCTAGCTCATACCGACGTCATACACAACCGAATGAAACACTGCCCATTCCTGCACATCCTCACAACTGTTGCTGCTGAGCCCTTTGTTGCAGACCTTGTTGGGGGTCTTGCCCTTTTTCTCGGCCCCTCCACTTTACCAAGCATGATGTCCTAGTCCAGGGGCTAACGTGTCCATCGTGTATGAGACAAAGCCTGGCCATCCTGGCTTCTCAGGAGCATTGCTGATGAACTCTCAAGACAAACTCTTCATTCTCCTGGCATCCCTGGGATAGTCAGTGTTCTTCACCAACACCGTAAGGCAAAGGCATCTAGTCTTCATGATTCACTGTCCAGCTGTCCACATGCATATGAGGCGATTGAAGGAAGATACCATGACTTGCGTCAGACATTCCTTAGTCCTCAAAGTGGCCGCTTTGCTTTTTAACACTTTAAAGAGCTCTTTTGCAGCAGATTTTTTCCCAGTCAGTGTGTCATGTGGTTTCCTGACTGCTGCTTCCATGGGCATTGATCATGGGTCCAATCCTGGATGACTTCACTCTTCTTCTCTTTTTAATCATGATGTTGCTTTGTTATTAGGCCAGTTGTGAGGATATTTGCGTTCTTTATGAACCTGGTCTGAACTGGATCCGAAAGCCAGAACCCAATGTGTAAACTCCAAGCCCAGGTCCTTTGCTTGCTCTTCTCTGAGTTGCAGTGTGGGCTAGAGGAAGCTTGTTGCTCACCCACTCAAGATTTGGCCCATTTAAGGAGAGTTGTTGAGACTTGGGAATATTCTAGCTAATGACCGTGCCAGGTTAGGGTATGCACTAGTCACTGGATCACAAAGCGGAGGCTGTGGAGGGTAACCAGAGGGTTGGTCCAGGACAGGCCCTGAATGGCTGGGGAGAGTGGAAGGGTGGGGTTCCCCCTGAACCCATCACTGATGGAACTGGGAAACAGGGACTACTGCTGGAAAGTGTTTCCTGTCAACCCCCAGGAACCTATGACTCTCCCTTTGGAATGCTTTTGTGGGTTTTCCACATAAAACTGTGGTGTTTCAGCATGCGTTCTTCTGGCCTCTGTTCTACTCTGAGAAGGCCCTGAGACACTTTCCTGCTGAGGTCATGACTCAAGGTCAGGAGGTTGCAGAAGGTCAGTGGCACTGACCATGTGACTGACAAGAAAGATTTGGCCTGTCTCTCTCTGGTCCCTGTGGTGGGGTGACCTGGTGGTGACTCTGCTGTGTTCTCCAGCATAGAGGTGCAGACACGGGAGCTAAGCAGCCAGAGCCGCTCTGGGGTGTACGCCTATCTCGCCTCCGTGCTGGTCTGTAGCAAGGACACCCTGCTCAAACGGGCCCGGAAGCTTCATCTCTACGAGCAGGTAGGTGGCTGGGGAGTGGGGCCCCCTGGCAGGGGCTGGGGGAGGTGTGAACCTGACTGGTGGTGTGTGGCCTTCTCCCCAGGGCGGGCGTCTGAGGGAGCCTCTCCAGAAGCTGAAGGAAGCCATCTGTAGGGTGATGCCAGAGCAGGTGTCCAAGTACCAGAACGAGTGCCAGGCACACACACAAGCAAAGGTTGCCAAGTACGTGCCCCTCACTGCTCACCTGGGTCCTCCTGGGAAGGCCCCGTCAGGTGTTCCCCACAGGTTCCCACACGAGTCTCTCCACCCCGTAGGATGCTAGAGGAGGGGAAAGACAAGGAGCAGCGAGAACGGATTTGCTCCGATGAGGAAGAAGATGAAGAAAAGGGGGGCCGACGGTTAATGGGACCCCGGAAGAAATTCCAGTGGAGCGATGAAATCAGGTGTGCCTGAACTGGGACTTTGTCTCCTGGGAGGGTTTGTGGGCCCACTGTCGAGCATGTTGCTAATGGAAGTCAGCTGGGAGGGGAGCATTTGAAGGGAGTGGGAAGTTTCTGATGTGTCCCCTCACTCCTTACTCCCCCCTCCACCACCACCACAGGGAGCTGCTCTGCCAAGTGGTGAGGCTGAAGCTGGAGAGCTATGACCCGGAGAGGAACAACAAGGCCCAGCCCTGGGAGGACTACGTGAAGGCATTTCTAGATGCCGAGGTCAAACCTCTCTGGCCCAAAGGCTGGATGCAGGCCAGGTGAGGGCCAGCGAGCAGCCCCCCTGTGACATCAGGTGTGCTTTCAGGTGTGCCCGTGCACTCCTGTCCACCAGGCTCTCTGTGTCCGACTCTAGCTCCTGGTTAGTCCAGTCTCGCCTGTACTGATAGCTAAAGGGGAAGCGGGGAGTCTTCATTCCCCACAAAGGTGGAGAGTCGGTGTGTCTCAGGCCCAACTTGCCTGCCTTGAGGTAATGGCTGCTCCTAGACACTGGCAGAGAGCTCTCTTGGGAACATGTTAACCCTGTGAAGGAGCCTCATGGACAAGCAGCAGGGCTGACCCATTAGAGGGGGTACTGCAGACTTGAAGTCGCAGGACTAACTTTGTGTCGTGTTGTCTCCTGAATGGACTGTCTGCCACACCTGGGACAGAGCTGGTCAGCTGGTGCTGGTCGTCTTCACTGACTGGATCTGAGTCAGGCAGGCTTTTCTGATCTCAGTGTCGCTTCTGAAGCTGGCCTGTGGGTCCCTCCTGTTTCCTCTTGGAAGGGTCGAGAACTACTGTTGTTAAGTGCGGTGGAGTCGGTTCCAACTCATAGTAACCCTGTATTGGGTTTTCGAGGAGTGGCTGGTAAGCTTGAAACCCCGATCTTACAGTTCAAACCGACTTTGCAATCCAGCACATTAACCCACAACACACCAGGACTCCAAACATATAGGGTATTCATTGGCTGATTTTCAGAAGTAGGTTGCCAGACCTTTCTTCCTCATCCCTCTTAGTTTGGAAGTGCCCCTGAAACTTGTTTGGCATCATAGCTGCACTCACTATGTGGCCGTGCATGAGGTACAATGGCCGATAATTGAACCTGGGTCTCCCACGTGGAAGGTGAGCATTCTTCCACTGAGCCATCACTGCCCTGGGGGTTGTTGTTAAGTGCTGTGGAGTTGGTTCTAACTCATGACAACCCTGTATAGGGTTTCTGTGGAGTGGCTGTTGAGTTCAAACCGACCTTGTGGTTCAGTGCTTAATCCTACACGCCACACCAGGACTCGGGGGGGTCGAGAGCAGAAGTACAGAAAGCACTGTGGCTTCTTGGGGGACCTCTCTGGGATACGCTGTTGGCGAGGCCTGATATTTTCTTAGTAGAGACTTGACTCTTGGCTTTAGGGGAGGCCAGTGCAGCTCCATCAGACCTTCTGACCAGGAAATAGCTGACCAGCTAGTTGCCATTTCCCCAGTAGCGTTCCGACTCTGAGTGCCCTGTGGGTGGAAGAGCTCTAGAAGCAGACTCCTGGCTTCCAGGGGGTGCGTGCCAACGCCTGCGTCCTCTCTGTTTCTCCCAGGACCCTGTTTAAGGAGAGCCGGCGTGGCCACGGGCACCTGACATCCATCCTGTGAGTGTCTTGAGGTTTTCACTTCTTGGGACTCGGATTTCATCTCCTAGTGCTGACAGACTCTAACCCTTGTGTGTGCTCTTTTCTTGAACAGGGCCAAGAAGAAGGTCACGGCCCCTTGTAAAATCAAGGTGAAGGTGAGTCGCTGTGCTCTGCCCCTGTTGGCTGTGCTCTGCTCTTCGGAAACCTCGAGTAGGATCACAGCAGCACGTGGAGCTCTGCTGTGTCTGGGGACAACTTTCTAGGTGCTCGGAGGCCGCCCAACAGTGCCCAGCACAGCTTCCTGGGAGGCCAGTCAAGAGTAGTAAGGAGTTGGTGAGAGAGAGCCTTTTGAGAAGGGGGAGCCTCCCTGCAGATGAGGAGGTGCACTCTGGAAATTATTTTTTACTAGAGTAAAGCCTGAAGCTGCACAGGAAGGAAGGTGGCTTGGTGAAGTGTATCTGGCAGGGTTAGTGAGACAACAGTGGTTGGAGAAAAAGAATAGAGCTGGAGGCACCTCTCAGTGTGGAGAGACCTCTCCAAACCAGAGGACCAACCCCACTGTGTCTGAGTAGATGCCAACTCATAGTGACCCTGTAGGACCAAGTAGAACTGCCCAATAGGATTTCTGAGACTGTGAATCTTTGAGAAGCTAGTGGGTTTGATCCCATCAACCTTAAAATTAGCAGGTGAATGCTTAACCCGCTGTGCCACCAGGACTCCAGGATAACTTAGTGTGGTAAAAACTGCTTTTTGACCAAAGCTTTGGCCAGTTTCTTAACCTCAAACCCTTGATCACATCTTCACAGCCTGTGAGGGTGAGATAGGCAAAGCTGCTTTGCATAGTAGCGTATGCTGAGCATGTGTGATGTCTGAGAGACTGTCTGAAGATGTAACTTGAGCACTACGCAGGCCCTGTTCTGTGCCCTGAGAGAAGAGGGGAGAAACTGAGGAGAAAGCTCGTTTCAGGCCCTGTGCCAGGTTCTGACCGTAGCTCAGAGTGCGCCGAGCTAGTGTGAAGGCCGGTGCTGGTGGGCAGAACGTGTCTTTCCTCTAGTTGTGTGTGTGTATTAACAATGAAACCTGCCTGAGTGACCCAGCCCTTGCCATCAAGCCCCATGACAGAGGGTGCTTACTGTTACAGTAAGTGGTACCGCCCCTCCTCTATCCCTGTGCTCACCAACAGGTCCGGTGTGTGTGCCCCTAAACACGGGTGTCTCTGCTTCCCTTTAGGACCCACCTGCTAAGCCTGATAAGAAGGTGCCCGTCCCATCAGGACAAAGTGTCGGCCCTGTCTCCTTGCCTTCTGAACTTGTAGGGGGAGGCCTAAGTGCTGGGGCTGCCTCCAGGGAGCTCTCCTCCCATGCTCCCAGCAGCCTGGCCAACCCTGGGCCCATCAGCCTTGATGACTCCCTGGACGAAGACTTCCTCCATGACTCAGCCTCTTCCCTGGAAGCTGTGTCCAAGGAGCTGGCAGCTTTGAATAGCCGAGCTGGCGGAAGCTCTGAGTTCACACTGTCTGCGCCCTCCAGGGCACCTGCCGAAAAGGCTGCGGGCGTGTTGTGCCCGGAAGAAAAGAGGAACTTTCCGAAAGCCAGCCCGTCCGCTCCAGCCACCTCCAGTTCGTTGCAGTCGCCTCTTAGTTTTCTGGCCGAGCAGGCACTGGCACTGGGGCAGGCCTCTCAGGAGAAAAGAGCAGAGAGCTCTGGCTACAAAGAGCTGTCCTGCCAGGCCCCGCTTAGCAAGGGCCTGACAGAAGCCCATCCACCCAAAGCCAAGCACCACAGCTTACCCCGGACAGCCCACGGCCCCCAGGCGACAGCACCGATGCCCAGCCCACAGGTGAAAGTCTTCCACGCAGGAGCCCAGCAGCAGAAAAGCGGCTTCACCCCCCCAACTCCATTTGTCAACAAGCTCCAAGGTTCCAAGGCAGCAGCCTCCCCCACATGCCATCGCTCCCTCCTGCAGCTGGTGAAGACTGCGGCCAAAGGCCAGGGCTCCCATCCCTCCGGATCAGCCACCTCCACAGGAGTGCCGTCCTCCAGTGGCAGCAGCTCTCATAAGAACCCAACCTCATCCTCTGCCACGCTGAGCCACACAGCAAAACAGCATTCGGCCAGCTCTTCTGGGCCCTCCGCTTCAGTGTACAAGAACAGCCCCTTTGCTGGCTCCATCTCCAAGCATGCACCTGCTTCCAGCGGCTCCACCTCTGGAGGCACGACCATTCCCAGCTCTTCTTCTGGGAACTTGCTCCCAGGTGGACAGACCCCCTCCATGGCGCAATCTGCCAGCCGCCCAGTCTCCAGCTCAGCAGCAAAGAAACCCCCCACCTCCCAGAAGCTGACCTTGGTGGCTCCTCCAGGTGGTCCCAACGGAGACTCAAGTGGGGGGACTCAGGGGGTGGCAAAGTTGCTGACTTCCTCCTTGAAGCCCACCGTGGCCAGTGGTTTGACATCGTCTACCTCTTTGCCAGTGAGTACCCTGTAGGGCAGTGTGCTCCCACATGCCCTTGTTCTGATGGGAGAATGGGGCCTGGAAGTGAAGGGGGCGGGGGAGGGGGTGCAGTCAGCACCGTATCTATTAGGAGAATGGGCCTGGAGAGCAATAGAGGCGCCTCAGTGCTTCCCCTCCCTCAGCCCCACCCCACCCCTCTTCCCAGGAGGCACACTCTCATGAAGGGTGTTGGAAGGAGCCTATGGGAGGCCACACACGGACCATCTGTCCAAGCCCAGCCGCTCAGTAGGTTGGGAATATGGGAGAGGGCATTAGTTTTCCAACTCTGTGACTGAAAGATCAAACTTTAGAAAGATGTGTTCAGCCCCCAAGTGAGGTAACTGTTTCCATCCAGTCTTGTCTTGGTTAGTGGATTTCAGTGGTTTTTACTTCCCCTGTTTCCTTTTAAAAGGGAAAAGGAGTGTTAAATACACAGGAGGATAAATAAAACCACCTGGCTATAAAATCACAGAAACCTTTAGGAAGCACAAAAAAATATCAAAAGGTGAAGCTGTTGTTTCTGGTCATGCCCTCGCCGTGTCTATGCAGTGTTTCTGGAGCTAGTGTTGCCAGCACTCCTCTCAACACATCCCTGAAGAAGTCCGCGCTCTTTGATTTACGCCACATCAAAACAGCAGTTAGGCATCCTTGAGGGATTCGAGTCACTTGGTGCAACTTTCCTGCCCATTAATGTCATTTCCATTTTCTTAAAACTTCTTAGTAAACCCAGACGATCATCCTGTGTCCTTCAAATGACCCCTTTGGAGTCCCCAAAACCATAACCTCTGAGCTGAACTCTCTCTGCCTTGAATTTAACTAGCCTAGCAGATCCTTTTGGCAGCCACTGTCTTGATTGGACCTTTTCGGTTTTTTTGGACGCACCCTGATATGACTAAGACAAGCACATTACATTACAGAGAACACGTCTGAAGCCATCCACTGATGGCCGAGACATTGAACTGACCTAGCTGAAACACAAGTTTGTTTGGAATAGACCCATGGGTGTATGAACTGGAACCCTAGAGTAGCAATATTTTTCAAGTTTCCTTCAGATATGTCTATTTGTACATATATGTGTAAGGGAGCTTCAGAAAGTATATGGGAAAATAGAATTACAAGCATAATGGAATTTTGTCACCAGCTTTTTGAAATGCCCTTGTATGTATGTACATATGTCAATGTGTGCACACATCCTTGTATGTTCACACATTTGGGCACATGCACATTTGTGGATATCTGTGAAGGGCCTGGTGGTACAGCTGTTATGTGCTCAGCTTCTAATTAAAAGGTGGAAGCCTCCAGAGAGATGAGAGAGTCGCTGCACCTTGGAACCCCTCTCTGTCAGTAGGGTTACTATGAGTTGAATTTGACTTGGTGTCTTCTTTTGGGAGGGTATGTATAATATTCTTCACTCTCTTTTTCATACACAAAGGAGGCATATTTAATACCCTGAGCTTTGAGATTCTCCTGGAGACTGTGAACTGCCCGTCCAGAAGCCTTTCTTCCTCCTCCCCTTGTGGTTGCAATTCAGGAGGGCCCTCCATCAGTGGCAGTGAACGAGTGTGTCCCCGACCTGTGTGGGCCGGACTGTGGTTTAAGGGAACCGTGCATGGTGCGACAATTGCTCTTTGGTTGCTTCCTCTCCAGAAAGGACCCAGTGGGGCTGTGTTGCTGACCAGCACCTCGTCCCTGAACCTGGTGTCTCCATCCTACAAGTCCAGCAGCCCAAAGCTGCCCGGGGCCATGAACTCAAACTCACTCGGGATCATTGGCTCCGTGCCGTTTCCTGTCCACGTGCTCTCCTTTCCCTCGGACTCTGCTGCCAAAGCCGGGCTCTCAAAGGAGGCCATCGTCACAGGCCCGGCACCGGGGACCTTCCACCACGGCCTCAGCCACAGTAAGTACCCCACCCCACCGCTCTGTGCTCTGGTTAAATGTGTGTGTCTGGTGTGTGCCACAGGGACATTTTCTGAACGCTGTGCTGAGCCCTGCCCCTGTGGGGTCCTCACCCAGAAGGAGTCCTGGAGGCTATCTGTCCAGGGCTCTTGGCAGTCAGAGCCACCCTCCATTCCATCTTCAATGTGTGTGTTTTGTTCTCCTCCCTCCTCTCTTTCCTTTCTCCTAGGTCTTCTGGCTGGCGTGCATTCCAGCGCGCACCCCGCAGCACCCCTCCCACACGCTGCCTTGTCCACCCACATCCCGCAGAGCCTGCCAGGTAATGGCCAACGGCCCGCCTGTCCTGTTTGCTGTCCTCTTGGCTGGACCTCTGTGGGTGTGCTCAGACAATGACAAGGCTCTGGAGATTGGATGTTCCCCTGGTCTCCACAGGGTCCTGTTGCTGAGACTGTTGCCCTGGTGGCCTGGGGAAGAGGTGCCCCCAGCCCTGAGCTTGGGCTCTCCTCTGTGTTTTCATGAGACTGGAAGGGCCCTGACACGTCTCAGTTCTAGCTGCAAGGCCCTGAGTGAGGCGCCCTGAACTGGGTGTCAATACGAGGGCAAGCCCAGGCAGCAGAGGGAGATGGCAGGCAAGCAGCCTGCAGGAGCATCGTGAGGTGTGACGTCGGCACAGGTCCCAGGGGAGGTGTATCAGCTCCAGTTCCATGGTACAGACTGAGGAGCTCGGCAGGGACGTAGCTGGTGTCCCCCTTCCCATCCTGTCCTCCCAGGGGCGCAGTGGCCCTCAGACATTGAGGTAGTGTGTGAGAAGACAGCCTGGTGCCCCAGCTGGCTCCTCTGTGAAGCCATGCGCCTGTTCCAGCCACAGGCTTTGGCTTTTGTGTACTTCAGTGTGAGGCTGGTGCTGAGGCCTGTGGTGTGTGCCTTTTACTTCCTGCTTTACAACTCTGGACCTTCTCTAAAAAAGTGTGTCCTTGAAATGCCAGTGGGCCTGTGGCGCTAGAGATGAGAGCCCAGACCCCAAATCTTTTGCTTTTCTTGCTGGGGATCCTAGGGATGAAAGTCGGGGAGGGCAGTGCCAACATTAGGGCAGAGCCTGGGCCTGCAGCCTCCCCCCACCGGCTGGCACTGTCCTTGCCATGGTCCACGGTGACTGGCAGAACCCCCCAGATGGGCATGTGTGTCAGTTTAGAGATTGCACAGCTGCTTGCTTTGGTGAACGTTTCTTTTTAAAGGAGACAAAATTATCCAAGAGCTGTGGGAAACGTGGCTGTCAGTCTGTGGTATTTTTAGTTGAAAAGAGTGAGGTTTTCTTGTACTGTCTCTTCCCCAGTTTTCTCTGGGTACTCAGCGCTGTGAGCGTCTGTAGGCGCAGACTGAGTGGCTGGAGAGGAACCGCTGCCTGTTCACCACAGCTCTGTGACTATGTTCTGTCTCTTTCCCCTGTGGACTGACTCTCAGTGTTATGTCTTGGCGCCTCTGACTCTGTGTGTCCTCCAAGGCTGGGGACACGGGAGATCGGTCACTGCCACCTGGAGTCCCCAGTGACTCTGGGCCTTGTGTGCAGCCCCAGCCTGCTGTGGGGGAATGGTTGTGGCCAAGTCACCAGTCACTGCTCTGCGAACATGGGGTCCAGCCCTGGGCCTCTGCTGTCCCCTGGCTCCATGTCCCCCTCGTGCTGACATCACAGGTCACAGTGCATTCTGGCTGGTTTGAGCCTTAGAGGCTTTTGCTATTTAGGGAGGGCAGCTGTAAGAGGCCCCACGATCCTGAAAGTCATGTCCTTTTCTGCTGTCTTTCAGATGCTTCTCAGCTTCACGGGAAAGGGCCCAGCGTACCCCGGAAGTTGTGACTTCTGCACCGAGAGGCTCCCGCGGAGATCTGGACAGAAGTTGAACGTGCGGGTCTCACGCTGGACGCTCACAGCGCTCCTTTTAAAACTTCCTTCTGCAGAAGGCGTGTGTGCCAAGGGCAGCGTTTGCTGGCACGTGTGACGTGCTCCAGTCAGGGGAGCAGCCTCCATGCTCCTCAAGAAGCACTTACGTACCTGGTGCTCTGGGCCTCCTGGCTATGTCACTGGACAATCGTCGAGGGCTGTGGGGGAGGCCATGCTGACCAGCTCCAGTGGTGTGGCGGAGGAGTTTGCACACCTGTTTCCAGTCTGCCCCCACCTGGCCTTTGGCCAGAGTCCCTCATGGTCCCCTACCGGATAGGGCTCCTCTGTCCTGATGGAGGAGTCCATCCGTCCCTAGGCCCTGTGCTCGATAGGACAGAAGCCCAGGCTAAAGCCACAACAGGGGAATGACCTTGTCCCTTTGAGAAACACTAAGAACACCTGGCATTGCTCACTGAGGGGGCCGGTCCCTCTGAAAGTGGCAGAGCTACCCTCTTAAAAAGAGATCTGTGTAGATCCCACCCTTCCGATAGGATTTCTTAAGACCTTGATTTTGGGTGTTTTTCATGTCCCCTTGGACGACGATGGATGGAGTGGGGCTGCGGCTCGCACATCATGTTGTAGGAAGACTTTAATCTCAGTGCCTTTTGTGGGGAACGGAACCGGAGCCCTTGCGTCCATCTCAGCCCTGAGTGTGGCTCAGGTGAAGTCCTTTGGAAGACACGTCTACATTGCAGACGTACTCCGTTTTGAGTTATTTACGGCTGTGCATCATGACCTGTGCCGGCCTGACTGGAAGGTCACGGGGCCCCAAACATTCCCAGGTCAGCAAGAACCCCCATTCTGTTTGTCCAGAGTTCATCAGGTGGACTCCAGAGCCCTGAAGCCGCACATCCACCTCTTGGTGGGCAGAGGGGACGCAGGAGATCCACGTCACAGTAGACATTCCACTTCCTATTCTTTGTAGAGGTCACTCACAGGCAGAGCTGCGGCCATAGGCCGTCTGTCCATCCTGGGGCTCCCCAGAGTTGTGGCTAAGCTGGGAAGGCGGGTCAGAGACAGCCAACGACAATCCTTCCTCCTCTGGTCACCAGGTTGGTCACACTCAGCCCATGGTCTGCTGGACTGAGGTAGCGTCACCTGTGAGCGTAAGCAGCGTTCTCAGAAGGCACACCTCTGTGCACACACTTAGGAGAGCCCCTGGTGTCTGACCCAGCGACTCGCCGCCCTGCCTCTTGAGTTTGGACAGGCCTCTGCTCTGGTTTTTTGTTTGTTTTCTCCCCACACTTAAGAAGCACTAAGTGTTTTTCACATTGGGCGACGTGGACTCCTTACCCCTTTCTAATAGTTCTTGCAACTCGGATTCCAGTCTGTTTACAGAATAGTTGTAGGTCGTCGCAAAAGAGCCAAAGAAGAGATTTGTGTTGCTGGGCTCAGAGCTGCCAGGGAACGCTGCGCAGTGGGGGCTTCTCCAGGCTTGTGCGCCTCAACCCCCTGCCCCTGTGCCGTCGAGGGGGCCACCGTGGGTGGAGTGGAAGACCCTCCCTTTTAGGAATCTAGCGATGCCTCTTGCCTCAGGGAAACGTTTCTTTGATGGGGAATTTATGCGATTTCTGTTTCTTGTTCAGGCTTTATTTGTGGTTATGGGAGCGTGAGTGACTCACCAACTGCCCAGGCCCCTGGGGAAGGCTCGGGGCCTGGGCCACACTGGCAGTCTGTGAAAGGCTATGGGTTTTGTGCAGCGGGGACGTTGGTGTGTGGGAGAGTAGAACTGGTTAATCTTGTATAAAGTAACAAAATAAACTGTTTCGAGGTTTTCAAAACAGGTTCTTGGCTTTTTCCTTTTTACCATATTCGGAAGTAATCATACCCACTCCCCCTCCCCACATACACAAGAAGCCTTAGAGATGGAACAGTCGTGGAATTAAACCCACTGCCAGGCAATCAATTCCAACTCAGCAACCCTGTAAGATGGGGAGAACTCCTAAGTTCCCGAAACTATAAATCTTTGTGAAAGCAGCAGACTGCCTCATCTGTCTTCCACAAAGTAGCTGGTGGGGGGGGGTTTGAACCACTGGCCCTGTAGTTCCTTAGTAGATGTAATACCCACGGAATATCCATTTTGGCTGGAAGCCAAGAAAGGTAGTAAAAATACTTCACCTGCAAAAGAGGGAAAAAACACACTTACAGCAAGTTGAGAACCAAGCCACCAGGTTTATTCCCCACCAGACATAGAGCTCCCCATTTCTTCCCATTTTCTTAACAGGAAACACATGCTACAGAGGGCCAGAAACCCATCCAGTGAAAAAGCCCACTGTTTTGTAAACCAAAATACCAGCTAGATAAGCAAGACTTGTCAGGCCCCCAGACCAGGGCTAGCAGCTTCACCAACCACTATTTAAACAAGACCCCCATTCCCGACACACAACATGTTCTCAGGGGCATTTCCCAGGGACACTGGGATAGTAAGCCCCCTTCACTCTAGTCCCACTGGTCCTCTTGAGAGCAGGGTGACTCCTGGAAGGGTATAAGTGCTAGGTGGGGCCCTGGAGGCCCAGTCCCCAGGGGAAGGGACAGCTGTGTCTGCCCTGGAGCTGGCCACCTGGTGTTTACGGGGTGGGCTCATCCATCTGGTTTGTTGTGTGCTCTGGTGGATGTCCAGTTCTTTTCGGGCGTCTGTCACAAAAGGAGTCTCCAGTGAAGGGAGATTGTGGGCAGTGAAATCAGAGAGGCAGGGCAGTGGTCAGGTGACAGTAGGGTGACGCTGGAGGAGGAGCCACGGTCTGAGCAGCCTGGCAGTGGGGTGAAGCATGGGGTACAGCGTTGGGTAGGAGAGGGACGGTGTCCGCATCACGCCTACTTCTGCCCGGACACCAGGACAGCCAACTCCTGGATTGACATGTCCTTGTTGACATAGCGGTCATACTGGGCAGGGCTCAGGCGGCCACTCTTGAGGGCCTCCTCAATGGAGAACTTTCTGCCGGACTTGCGGTCGTGGATGACTGAGGACTCCCCGTTGGGGCCCTTCACTGAGATCTCCTCCCAGTCGCACTCCTGGCTGCGAAGTTTCACGAACATGTTCCAATCGATGAGGCCTGCCCGGCGGGCCTCCTCCGGGGACAGCTCTCGGCCCGTGTCGGGGTCGATGACCACAATGGACCGCCGCAGGTGGTTCTCCCGCTGCTCCCGCTTGACGGCCACGTTGCCCAGACGCCGCTGTAGCTCGTCGATCTCCAGGTCCTTGTCCTTGGAAAGCCTCTTGAGGTCCTCCAGCTCCCGTTCCAGGGACCAGAGCCGGGAGTCCAGGCTCGGCCCGGCATCTACTGTGGACACGCCGTGCAGGTCTCGGGTCTCTGTGGCCGCCATCTCAATCTCCGCCTGGAGCCTCCGGGCCTCCAGCTGCAGGTTCTGCCGTTCCAGATGCAGTCTGTGGTTCTCCTCCCTGAGGAAGTCCAGCTCCTTGGACGACTTGGAGTTATGGAATTCCAGCTCAGACAGCTTGGCCTCTAGTCGGCTCACCTCGGCATCCAGCTCCCGCTTGCTCCGGGTCTCCTCCTCCAAGCTGCCCCTGAGCTTCTGAATCTCCTGCTCCATGCCTCCCTTCTCCACCTGGACGCTCTCGGAGAAGACCACCTTCTCCTTGACCTCCATCTTCTCCAGGTTGAGCAGCTTCTGACGCAGAGTCTCCAGCTCGCTCTCCAGGACCTGCCGCCGGTGACGTTCCTCCTCCAGCTGGACCTGGAGCAGGGCATGCTCGCGGGCCTGCTGGGGGTCCTGCTGCAGGACCACCTTCTGCTTGCGGGTCACCTTCTCTCGGGCCTCATCCTCTTCCTGTTCCTGTTCCAGGCCGGCCAGCCGCTGCTTCAGGCGCTGCACCTCCAGCTCGGCCTCTCTGCGTGCCTGACGCTCACGCTCCAGCTCCTCTAGCTGCCGCTCGAGCTCGCTGCGCCGCCGCTGCAACCGCCGTAGCTCCCCTCGGAGGTGGTCAATCTGTCGCAGCTCCACATCGATGCTCTCGGTGAAGGAGTTCACTTCGGCCCGCAGGTTGGGCTCCTCCTCGTAACGGACCACCTCTTGCTGCACCACCCTCTCCCTCACCCGGGACAGCTCTTCCTCCTTCTCCTTGATCTTGTGTGCCTGTGCAGCCCTCTCCTGTTCCACGTCCACCTGCTTCTTCTGCTCTTCCGACAGCTTGGCCCGCAAAGACTCCACCTCCTCCTTGGTCTGGGGGTCCTCCTGGAACTGCAGGATCTCCTGGACCACCTCTTTGGTCTGAACTTGGGGCTTGGTGTCTTTCAGGGCCTGGATCTCCTGCTTAAGCTGGTAGATCTCCACATCACACCTCTCCATCAGCCTGGTCTTGTCCACGATTTCTTCCCGCAGCCGCTGCAGCTCCTTCTCCATCTCGGGGTCCGTCTTGTACCTGATGACTTCTTTGGTCACCTCCTTGACCTCGACCTGGGGGCCTCGCTGCCGCAACGCCTCCAACTCACGCTGGTAAATGTGGAGCTGCTCCTCAGCCCCTCGGTACTTCCTCTCTTGCTCGACCAGCTCCAAGCGCAGGTTGGCCAGCTCGCTCTCGGCCTTGGGGTCGGGCCGGACGATCTCCCGCACCTTGTCCTGGACCACCACCTTGGTGTTCTCCTCTTCCAAGGCCCAGATCCTCCGGAGCAACTCAGTCTTCTCCCTCTGGTTGGCGCGCGCCCGGGCAGCCTCATCTTCATACTGGCGCTTGAGGTCACCAACCTCCCTCTCGGCGGCCAGGTCCTTCTCCACCTTGAGCACTTCCTTGACGGTGATCTTGCCCTCGGCCATGGCCCGCTCCTTCTCCAGCCGCCTCAGCTTCTCCTGGAGGAAGCTCAGCTCTTCCTCCTGCTTCTCCCACTGTTGGCCCTCGAGCCGCTGCTCATCCTGCAGCTTCCGGAACTCGGCCTCCAGTTGGGGGTCATTCTGCAGCTTCACCACTTCCTTCTCGGTCACTTTCTCCTGCGTCCTGCTCTTCTCCTCGGCCAGGGCTGCGATGCGCTGCCGCAGCAGGGCCACCTCAGCCTCCCGAGTGCCCTTCTGCCTGCGCAGTTCCTCTAGCTCCTCGCGGAGACGCAAGACCTCACCCTCCTGGACCCGGTCAGGCTCGATGCGCAGCACCTCCTTGACCGTGTACTCCTGCCCTCCACCAGCCCCTGTCTCTTGCTCCAGCACCCGCAGCCGCAGCCGCAGTCCCTCCAGCTCATCCTGCAGCAGCTGGTTCTTGTGTTGCTCCTCGGCCAGGGTCCGCTGTGTCCGCCGGAAGCTTTCCTCCAGCGCGGGGTCCGGCACCTTTTTCAGCACCTCCTTGTGCACCACGGCCTGCGGCTGCTCGCGGCTCTGCAGACTCAGGATCTCCTCCTGCGCGCTCTGGACCTCACACTCCAGCTGCCGCCGCCTCTGGCTCTCCTCGTCCAGCTCCTTCCTGATCTGCCATAGTTCTTTCACCCCGGGCCCTGGCGTGCTCCCCTGCAGGCTTTCGGGGGGCATTTCCACTTCCAGTTGCTGGGATGGGGAAGACAAGACATGGTTAAAGCTAGGGCCTCTGGCGACTGGGCGCCCCTTCCAGCCCTCCCCCGCCCTGAGTCACAGCTGATCTGAGCCACCTGTTCCCAGATCCCCAAAGAGCCCCTCAGAGCGAGCTCTAGGTCAAGGTTTGAAAAGGTTGGGGGAGACGCTGCTAGGGTAGGTTTCTAAAACACATCTGGTAAACGTATTGTTGTTAAGTGCCGTCAAGTCAGTTCCAACTCATAGTGACCCTGTGTAGGGTTTCCGAGGAGGAGTTGGTGGGTTCAAACCGACCTTGCAGTCCAGTGCTTATCCTACAGTAATGACACACCAAGGGGCTTCAAAGAGCTTGTGGAACAAAGTGGGATGAAAAGATAATGGAATCTTCCCAGAAAGTTTTAGAAGCTCCCTTGTATGTCACAACAGGTTGAGTTTGGGGTGAAGCTGCAGTCTCCCACCTCGGGTCCTTCCCTGTCATCCTGAGACACTGCCTGTATGCACGCTTAGTGTACGCCCTGTGTGGATTTCTCCCGCCCAAGTGGTGCCTCAGGATTCCCCAGCCATAGTGTTCCACCACAGGGGCAGACAGCGACTGACCAAGCCAGCCCGCTGCCCAAGAACCGACACATCAACACATCCAGGTGCGTCCAGGTTTGCACTATTTACGTTTACCCATCACCTGACTGAGGCATACTGACGTGAGAACATGTTACACCCCCCCCACATACCCTGAGTCCACAGGATTAACCTAAGAAGGGCCAGCTAGGTGCAGTCCCCACATTCACAGGGAGTCTGCTCACGACAGTGGGTTCATTGGTTTCTCTGGCTGAGATCGGTTACCTGTCTCAGGAGATGCAGCGCGAACTCCAGATTCTGCAATCTCTGTCTGTTAATGGCATTGACCTCCGTGAACTTGGCAGCAAGAGCAGCTTCCTGCAGAAAAGTATTTAGCAGCACAGTCAGCAAGCAAGTATGTGTTGTTGTTGTTATTAAGTGCGTTTGAGTCGTTTCCAACTCATAGCAACCCTGCATAGGGTTTCCGAGGAGCGGCTGGTGAGCTTGAACCGCTGATGTTGCATTTCAAACCGATCCTGCAGTCCAGCACATTAACCCACAGCGCCACCCCAGGCAAAAATGCAGACAGAGAATCAGCAAAGAGACAGGCGCCTAGAGACTGAGGCTGAAAAGTCAGCTTTCAGGAGCTGGAGGGCGGTGTTTTTTTTTCTCCAAGATTCCACTATTATTTTATTTTTCCAAACATTATACCATTGTCCCTAACTCATGGATCGAATCATTTTTTAAAAAACATATTTTGTTGTTGAGAACAGACACCACCAATTTGACAATGTCTACAGGTACAATTAAGTGACATCCGTCTCCTCCCATAGAAATGAATTGTTCTCACATTTTTATCTGAGATGTGTTTTATTTCTTTAGTTGAGAAATGATTTTATTGTTGGTGCCACTGTTGAGAATACGAGGGGGCTTCAAAGAAAAAAAAAAAAAAGTTCATGGAAAAATAGAATGAAAAGAGAATGGAATCTTTCCATGAACTTTCGCAAGCCTCATATGCACAGCAGAACATGTACCAATCCCAACAGTTCTGCACGAATCATTCATAGATGCTCATGCCCTTCTTCTGAGAGGCGTACCCACTCTCTGAAGTGTTCCTCCCTCACTGGTGTAAGGACCAAACTGATTTTGCCTACCTAGAAACTGCTTGACTAAACTCTAGTCAGGCTCAGGAAAGCATTTTAAATAGACAAGGCCTCAGTTATTAGTTCCCTTCAGAGGCAAGGTCAATCTCCATTCTGTACATTAGCCTGAACACGTACTCTAGCTCCAAGAATATGATATATGCATAAAGAGCCAGGCAGCTCAAGGCCAGAGGCCAGATGTTTTCCTTTACCCTAGCCTAAGAACAAAGACCACCAGTCCTGACCAATTAAACTGTAACATCTCATAGTTTGCCAATTGTTAACCAATCCAAAGATTGTAAAGCTGAGAAACCTGAGCTGTTTGAAAATTCTATAAAAACCCTGCAGACAATGCATTCGGGGCTCTTTCCCTATTCCGAAATGTCGGATAAGGTTAGAGACCTGGCTCGAGCTTGATTAAACAACCCTTATGTATTTGCATCGGTACACGGCTCCTGGGTGGTCTTTGGGGACCCTGAATTCTGGGCATAACACTGGCACCAACTCATTGCCCCTAAGGCTCCTATCTAATCTTTTCAGTTGTTGTTATCACTCTGATCTCATACAGACAGTTCTTAAGAGAGCGTAATGCCCAAAGCAGATGTCCCTCATTCATTTTTAATGTCAACTCTATCATACCCAAGTTCCCCAAATTTGGATTTATTTGCTAACTCTCTAAGCTAGTTGATTGTTCTCATTCTCTTGACAGAGTTCCAATGGACGTAGTTCTAGGATATGTTCTAGTAAGATCTGACGTAGTTAGAACTGAGGGACAGCTTCTTGCCCACTGCTCAGACCCAGGGCTCTACCGCAGTCTCATGGAGTGGAGAGAAAACAGATTTAGTCTTGGCCTCAGTGGGCTGAGTCAGCCACCGTACCTCTCAGGAACCCACATCTTCACGTGCTCAGAATGAGTCATGTCAGCCCTTCTCCTGTGTATTTAGTGAGCACTGACGTGGGAGTCTCCAGCCAAACACTTCCCTCCGCCCAGCAGTGTCTGTAGGCCTCTCTATGGTATGCCCTAGAATGAGCTCATTCTCTCACCTGTTTGCACCTGTGAAGGCGCTCGTTGTGTTTATCTCAGAGATCCCCCTCCTCACCGCCCAGATGCCCACGGGCCTCACCTCTTCCTTCACTCTGGCGGCCGGCGACTGGAGCCTGGCCCTCTTGCTCACGTGGTTGTTCTTTCCACTCTCCAGGTCCATCAGGGACCTTAGCTTCTCTGCCTCTAACTCGTAGTCCTGGGTCAGAGAGAGAGTCGTTGAGAAGAGAGCCGAAGGTTCTAACACACCTTCCAACTGACCCGAGCCCTGGCTGCTGCCACCTTGCTAGTCTGAGAATCAAGGAGCTCTGGTGGTGCAGCGGGTTAGACGGACGGCTGCTAATTTCAAGGTCAGCAGCCGCTTCACACAGCAAACAGATGAGGCTGTCTGCTGTGTAAAGCGATTCTGTGAGTCGGAATCAACTCATGGCACTGGATTTGGTTTGGGTTTTTTGGCCTGGCCATCCTCACAGGTCTTTCTTTCAACCAAACCCTTTGCTAACTGCCCAGAGAACGGGAGAAGCATCACTGCGCAGCCTCGAAGGACAAAGGGCAGCTCTGGCCACGCTCCCCGTCCCCATCTCCACCTGCTCAGTCGAGTCTTCCCTCCCCAACCTTTCCCACCTGCAGGTTCTTACATCCTGTTTCCTTCATCTCACATCAAACCAGATGCCGTTTCTCAGGTTACCACCACCTCACCTTTGTGTCCAGCATCTGGATAACTTCACCGTCCACCTAGTGGACACGCAGTGCCATGGTTCTCTGCCACTGGGCCATCAGGTAAGGGCTAGTGGGTTTATTTATATTTGTTTCTGGTTTACCATTACAAAGGATGTTGCTACAACAATGCAGTTAAGCCAGCATCGCTCTTTTGTGCTTTTTCCTTTAGGGTAAATCTCACCTAAGAGTTGATTGGTGCCTAGGGTATGACTCTCAGTGCCTAGCACCAGACTGTTTTCCAAAAGGGCTGTGCCATGGACAGGCCTCGAGCCCAGCCAGTTACACATCCAACTAACTGTGTGTGGGGCCCAGCTTCTGTGGCTCACCTTTACAGCCTGTTGATACTGCTGGGAGTTGGCACACACTGTCTGTATTTCCTGTTCCCTGTTGGCGATGTCATCCAGCAGGTTCTGGAAAACAACAGAGATTGCAAAGATCAAGCTGAAAACAAAACAACAGAAGCCCTCTGGCTAGAGCAGCTGGAGTCTTTAAAATCTGATTATTTTTATCTGGTTTATGGAGTTCTTGTGCTACAGTGGTTAAGCGTGAGGCTGCTCCGCGGGAGACAGATGTGGCAGTCTGCCTCCAATAAGGTTACAGACTTAGAAACCCAATGGGGCAGCTCTAGCAGCATTATGAATGGGAATGGATTTGATGGCTTCCTTATATTCACTTGATGCCTACAAAAGTCAGTCCTGAGGCTCTGTGAAGAAGGGCCAAGAATGATAATCATCTTTGCCAATAAACTCCTGTTATAACTGTTGTAACATCTTACTTAAATCACCTCTGTAAGTCTTCAAAGAACCCTGTGAGGGTGACCGTATAGGGAAACCGAGGCACAGTGAGGGTCAGTCACTTGGTAGTGAGAAGTGGAGCGGAGCTTTGGGTCTGGGTTATGGGAGCCCAAAGCCCAACCCCAATGCACCGCAGCCTCCTGGAGAGACAGGACCCCCACCTCCCCTGAGAGATGCTCTGGTGTTCCTGTGCTATTGGTTTGCACAATCAACCTTTCCCAAGGGTCCACTCAGGGTCTGGCCCTGTGCTGGACACTGAGGAGGAGTGGACATGATTGTGGCCTCAAAGAGAATGAGGTGCCCAGAGCCGAGCAGGGCCAAGGGCCAGCGAGGACAGCTAGGCCAAGTTTTGCCTGCTCCTGCCAAGGCCGTCAACCACACTGCCTGCTTGTCTCCCTGGGGGTCTGGGGGTTTCTAACACTCCTTTTGCCACCGACAGTCTGCAAGAGCAGAGGAAGGGCCTTACCTTCTGATTCTTCAGCTTGGTTTCCATCTGGCTGAGGCTGTCTGTCTCTTGGGGCTCATAACTGGGGATGTTGGACAGGAATTGTGACATGTGGTTGTAGCCGCTGTGATACTTGTCATAAGCGGCCTTGGCATTCTGCAGGCTCTGGAACCTGCAGGAGGAGACAAGCGACTTAGGTCTCTGCCACTGGGGGCAGATGCCTCGCTGGAAGACTCACATCCCTCTGAAAGAAGCTGGAGACCCTCGTTTCTTTAAAAGGTTAAAAAAAAAAAAAAAAGTAATTTAACTGGAAATAACATAAACATTTACCAGAAAGCAAATGGTTTTGATAAATTCTGAAATGTCAAGTCAGAGCACGCATTAGCCTTTGTAGGAACAAACCAAGGAACCCAACCCATAGCCGTCAAGTTGACTCTGAGCCACGGTGACCCTCTAGAACAGGGTAGGAATGGCCCATAGAATTGGTGAGACTGTAACTCTTTACTGAGGCAAACTGCTTCACCGGTCTCCTGCTGGGAGACTGCTGGGTTCGAACCACCAACCTTTCAGCCAGCAGCCCAATTCTTAAGCCACTGGGGCACCAGGGCTCCTTTCATAAAGGATAAGGTAGGTCTGCATGCACTGGCTTGCAAAGATATTTAGTGGTAGTGGTGGTGGGCTGCCGTGGAGTCAGTTCTGACTCAGTGACCCTGTACAGGGTTTCTGAGGCTATAAATCTTTACGGGAACAGAAAGCCTCATCTTTCTCTGGCAGAACAGCTGGTAGTTTCGAACTGCTGACTTTGATATTAGCAGCCCGACTCGTAACCACTATGCTACCAGAGCTCCTTTAAAAACATAAGGCAATATCATAAATGACTCTGTGGCAATAAATTTAACTCAGCTGAAATAGACAAATTGCTTGAGAGCCATATACTACCAAAGTTCACCCAAGAAGAATGAGACAACGTGAACCACCCCCTGCGTACTAGAGTTGAATCTGTACCTAAAATCCTTCCCACCCACAGAAAGCTGCAAGCCCAGAAGGCTTCGCTGGTGGATTCTACCGAACATTTAAGAAAGAAAGAGTATCGATTTTACATGTGGAGTTTGAGTCTCCCACTCTGTGGGTCTGTGATTAAAAAGTCAAAACCAGCACTGTAGAACCACCTCTGACTCACAGTGACCCCGTAGGTTCACCGTATGTAGTGCCCCCATAGAATTTCCAAGGCTGTAACCTTTATAGGAGTGCCGGTGTGGTGCTGTAAGATAAGCACTGGACTGCTAGCCACAAAGCCAGCGGTTCAAACCCACCAGCCATTCTCAGAAACGCTATAAAGGGTCACTATGAGTCAGAACCAACCAGACAGCACACAGTAACCATCACCTTTACAGCAGCAGATGGTCACATCTGTCTCCCATGGAGCAGCTGGTAGGTTTAAACTGCTGACCTTGCAGATAGCAGCCCAGTGCTTTAACCTCGGTGCCACCAGGGCTCCTTCCAGCACAATATGACAGGTAAGTAACAAGTTATAATCCACACCATAGGTTGTCATTTGTACGCTACCTAGCTTTTTATCTGCGCATCCACTGTCCCATCCACCCATCCATCCTTGCTCATATAGAATATTCTGGGGAAGAAGTACAGGAATCTCGTGACCCCCTTAGCTTAGGGAAAGGGGCCTGGCCACTATAATCTCTTTTTGAGTTTCTTACAGTATTACCTTTTCCAAAACAGAAATTACTTTGAGAACAAAACACACAACTTTCACTAGCTTCTAGAGAATTCCCACCTTGGTGGCTTCGGGCTGGTTCCCCGTCCCGGTCCCCGCCACCCCCACCACCCCAGCCCTCACCTGCGGCTGATCTGATGGCGCAGGTTATCAAAGCGCTGGCTGAGCTTGTGGACCTCGGCTTCCTGACGTTCCAGGTCGGGGCAGTGCTCCTGGAAGCGGCTGGCCAGTAAGCCTGAACACTGTTTGGCCGCCTGCAGATTCTGCTCAGCTTCAGTCAAGACGGACGGCTTGGCCTGCAGCTCAGAGCCCATGGCCTGTGAGTGGGAAGAGGCATGGGTTGTGGGGGGAGGGGGGGAGGCCACTGAATCCAGGACTCAGGGAAACCAGTGCACGCCCTCTGCCCAGTGCATGCCTAGGAGGGAGCGACCCCACAGAAGTCCCCAGGCCCTGTGTTCTGAGTGAAGGGCCACCCCAGGGGTCCCAGACTCTGATTTGCAGAGGTCAGGCAGGCCAGACCCGCCACTCAGTGAGAGACAGAACACTTGGGCTTTGACATGAAACTTCCTGAAACTTCGTAGGCCACCCAGACTAATGAGAGGCTGGGGAGGTGAGCATGGGCCTCCACTTTGCAACTTCCAATTTGACACCCTGTGGGCACTCCCAAAGGAACCCTGGTGACACTATGGGATGAGCCTTGAGCTGTTAACCACAAGGCTGGTGGTTCAAACCCAGTAACCACGCTGCGGCAGAAAGATGAGGCTGTCTGCCCCTGTGAAAATTTAGGGTCGCTATGATTCAGCATCAACTCCGCGGTAGTGGGTTTGGTTTGATTTGGGGAGCGCTTGGCAGCTAACTCACAGATTGGCAGCTGGAATCCACTAGCTGCTCCTCACCGGATGACAACTTAGGAAACCCAGTGAGGCGATTTTACTCTTTCACATGGGGTCTCTACAAGTCAGAAGTCACTGAGCTGGGTTTGGTTTCAGGTATTCCCAAAAGGAAGAAATGCACCTCTGTGGTAACTCAAGGCCTCGGTTTCCCTTTCTGTCAGGAAGGTGAAGGGTGGTATATGTCTGAAGGCTGACCCCCACTCAGAGGACTTTCCAGGGGCCCTCAACTCACGGCCAGCTCCTGTATCTTGTTGTCCAGGGTGTGGCCACTCTCGGGCACCGTGTCATCCTGGGTTAGCTGGCTCTCGTATGTGGCCAGCAGCTCCCGGCCCTGCTGCAGGCTCTCCTCCAGGCGGCTGCTGACCTCCATCCTGAGGATAGTGGTCAGCAGTCAGGGAGGGTTCCAGGCCCCATGCCTGCTCCCCCAACCCCACTCACTGCCTGCCACCCACTTCTCCTGAGCCGAGTCCAGTAGCTGGGCCAGGCGCTCATATTTGCCATTGGTGTCGTCCACCCGGTTCCTGAGCAGGGGTGCGGTGCCACTGCCCGGGAGGGCCTGGAGGAAGGCCTCACACTCGGCCGTGCTCCGAGTCTTCTCAGGTTCGATGCGTTGCAGCTCACTCGTGATATTCTGTCGAGACCAAACCACAGCACGGTGAACACAGCCAGCCACCCAGGCAGCCCCTCCAGGGACAAGAGAGGACCGACATCTGCTAAGAGGGCTGTGGGCCTACATTTCAGGGACAATGGGAAGTCTCGGTGGACATGCAGAGGCCTGGGCCCACTCCCGGAGCCAGACAGAACCTTGTGTTTGGAATGAATGCCCCAGGGAACTCTGAGGCAGGGACAACCACAAGCCAATGTGAAGACAACGGTCCACCAGGACCACCTCATCTAACCTGCAAGGGCAGCTCCCAGCATCCCACCCCCTGGGTCCTCAGAGTCCTTGGAGGTGGGAGAGGCAGCCCCAACATCGTCACCATGGCTGAACACCTGCCATAAACATCCCCAGGTCCCCGTGGGGCTGAGACGAGGCAGGCACAGAGCTCCCTGGACCCCATGGTACCTTGAGGTCCTTGGCCCGCTCAGCACTGTCTTCCACGGCCCGATCCTGATGCAGCGGTGGTCGAAGGATGCCCGTGATGGCCTTCTCCTGCCGGTCCAGGTCTCGAGAAACTTGGTCTAAACCGGCCAGCAGCTGCCGCCCCTGCAGGTCAGATGCGTCTGCAGGAGTGGAGACAGAGTCAGAGAGCTGTCCCAGCATCCCCTGCCCGCGACCCCTCCCCGACAGCACACACTCCAGTCTAGTCCCTCCCTCCTTCCATCCTTCCATCCTTCCAGCGGCACCCACCTCCAGGGTTTTCCGCCTTGAGCACCTCGTACCGCTGCTGGAGCACATTCTTGCTCCCGGCTGCCTTCTGCCGCACAGTCCGGTACTGGCTGCCCAGGCTGGGAGAGCAGAGGAACAAGTTGGGTCTGCAGCACTTGCTTACCCCCCCAACCCACAGAGGCAGGTATCCCAGGTCTATGAGTGGGACCACGAAGTCCCGGAGTGCAGCCAGCCCACGCTGGCTCCCTCCTTTGTCCTCGTACCTGTCGGCCAGAGCCAGGGCCTCGGGGTCAGTTGGGGGGATCATGAAGCAGACGGCTGGGGCAGTCAGCCTGTTCCCGATGCTGTCTGTGAGCTCCCAGCTGTCCCCGTTGTTCTTCTGCAGGATGTAACTGTAGCCTCGCGAGATCATACCCTGCAGGGCACGGGACAGACCACACCCTCAGAAGGAGCGAGAGACCTGCCAACACTCAGCTACCCTTCACTCTCAGACCTGGGGAGTCATAGTCTGTCTCAGACCCACCACACAGAGGATTGGGAAGGGACATAGGTGGGGTCTGCCAAACACCCCACCTTGATTTCCCCACCCTCCCTACCCAATCACAGTCCATGACAACTCCAGGCCTGGCATGGGAGAGAGAGCTGCATCCTGACCACTGTGACTCACTCAGCGTGGACATGTGACTCACACCAGCCAATGAGAGTCTTTCCTGGGACTTTGGTGGCTAGTTGGGGTTGTCACATGGGGTAATGTAAGGCTGAGGCACTGGGGCAGGGGTCAGGGTAAACATCTCTTCCATAAGAGTGTTGCCAATAGCACGCCTAGACACAGGTCCCTGAAAGCATGGTCAGAGGCCCTGGAAACCCCCATAAAGCTTCTGAGACTCCCTAGTGACGTGACAACAGCAGACCTGGGCCCCCGGTGCGGCAGCTCACCTCGTCACACTCGAAGTCGCAGAGCGCCTCCACTGGGATGGGCTTGAGCGGCGTCTCCCGCCGGTACTTGAGAGGCACCACCTGCTGCCCTCGGCGCTGCAGACCCCGCACCACGTCCTCATACTTGTCCAGTGCCTTCTCCTGGTCCTGACAGAGTGGGGGAGCCAGCTGAGACCTATGCCTTCCTGGGAGGGAGTAGGCAGGGTGGGGGTGGCAGGCAAAGGTCACTCACGTCCAGCTCCCGCAAGAGCATCTCAATCTGGTAGCGGTCCTTGAAGTCGGGGCTGTATTTCTGGTCCAGGTCCGAGTCCACTTTCCTCAGCAGCTCCTGGGCGTCTTTCATGTCTTTATGGAACTAGGGGAATCACGTGGCTTTGTGACAGGTATTCTCCCGGCTGGGGCTTCAAGGTCAGTCCCAGGTGGGGCTGGGCCCCCCACTTACTCAACCCACAGGACCCCTCCCCACCAGCCCTCAACACCACTCATTCCATTTAACAAGGTCTCACATCTAAGCCAGGAAGCGCTGAGCTCATTCTCTGTACTCAGCCATACCATCTCGATACATTAACTCAACAAGACCACCCAGCTGCTCTGCTCTCCAACAGGCCTGTTCTTTCACTGGATTCCCCGAGTGGATTCCCGAGTGGATTCCCCGAGTGGATCCCCGAGTGGATTCCCTGAGTGGATCCCCGAGTGGATTCCCTGAGTGGTGCAGACTGTAAAAGGTCAGAGGCTGAAGCCCAACCAGAGGCACCTGAAAAGGGCCTGGTGTCTACTTCCAGAAAATAAGCCACTGAGACCCCACAGAGCACAGTGCCACTGTGGCACACACGACGTCGCTGTGAGTCAGAGTCAAGCAGACACAGCTGGTATTCTTCCACCAGGGCCATCAGCTCTGAGTCATGTGGTCATCCAGCACTCCTCGTGCCTCAAGCTAAACACAGGCCCCATGAAGCTCACAGCCAGCAGGAGTTGGAGCCCCAGTCCACATTCCCCTAAACTGCCCACTCCTGAAAACCAATGCAGCTCTTGTTAACGATACAGGTTCCTGCCCCCTCTCTCTGCTGACTGGCTGAATCAGACTCGGAGGCCCTGTTCCCCTGGGAGGATTCATGGGGTGGGGCCTAGCACACTATGGGCCCATCCAGATCAGCCATTGGAAGTGTGGCTACCAGGAGCCCCTGTAAGACTTCTGGAGGTGCGGTCAGGAAGGAGTGGGCAGGCAGACAGGTGGGCAGGGGGTTCTGGGTAGTACCTGGTGGAAGTCCTCCATGTACTTGAGGTGGCTCTCCTCACAGATGAGAAGGTTCAGGTACTCCTTCCAGTCCGCGTGCACGGCTTCCATGTGTGCCTACAACAACAGGGATGCAGGGTCAGGTGGCAGGCTACCCGGATGCAAGGAGAGCCCTGGCTGGACGCTGGACCCAGCAAACAGTAGTTCAGAGAGGGACATCTGGTATCTGTCAGGGGATGGGGAACAGGCAGAGGTCTCCCGGATTAAGTGCTGGGAGTTGGAGAGACGGGAGTGTTTTATGAGGTAAGGACTGCCATGTACAGTTGCTAGGGCTGTGAACTGTACAAGGGACAGGTGGAAACTGTGCCTGTTCACAGAGACACCCTACAGGCTTCACAAATCCTGGAGCTGGGGGTAGGAGGTGGCAAAGGCTCAAGATGCGGGGAGGGGAAGAGGCAGACAGAGCCAGAAGGAGCTAGCGAAACGAGCAGACAGGGTGAAAGAGAGAGACATGGACCCCAATCTCCGAGGGTGACCCCTCCGAGTGCACCCACCTCAATGGAGTTCCTCCCGGGATGCTCAGTGGCCAGCAGCTGGTCACCCTCACTGTGTAGCTTGTTGATCCTCTCTTCTTTGGCCTCCAGGTTCCGGTTGATAAAATTCTGCAGTGAGGGGTCACAGAGAGTCTCAGTGTCTTACCTGGCTGCCTTCTGCTGGCTCCCGACCCCAAATGCTTCCTCAGTGCCCCAGCGCCCACCTCATACTGCCGCCGTCGGCTGGGATAGTCGAGGTTCCGGTCACTCCAGTCGTACTGCATGCGGCCCTTGGCCTGCTGGTCCAGCCAGTACAGCTCATTGGTGCAGCGCTGCATGTAATCTTGCAGGGAGTTCAGATGCTGCTGCCGCTCCTGAGACTGTGCCTGGGGGAGGAATGGGGATGCAAGGACAGGCTGGGTCCTGGGACGAGACCCCCGATCCCTCTGAACCCCATCATTCATTCAGCAAGCCCGGCCTCACTCCAAGCACTTGGCTACAGCAGGGTGCAAAATACAGAACCCCAGCATGTTGACATTTTAGCAGAGCCTCAGTATGCTAAATAGGTATGGTGCTCAGAAGCGAGGAAGGCGAGGCTTCATCTCTCATACTACAGAGGGGATGTTATCAGGAGACCAGTCCCTGGAAAATGACATACGCTTGGCAAAGTAGAGAGTTGTCAAAGAACAAAACAAAATGAAGAAGACCCCCTCGAGATGGAGGGACACAGTGGCGGCACCAGTGGGCTCAAACAGCAATGATGGTGAGGATGGCGCAGGTTTCGCTCTGACCTAAAGATGTGGAACATGCTAGTCCCCACAACCGTGTGAGCCGTTTCCCTGAGGTAGATCTCTATGTGTCTAAGCATCACTGGGTTTGCCCCTCTACAGAAACCAGACGAAGGCAGAGAGGGACTCCTGGGAACCACCCCATTCTACAGAGGGGAAAACCAAGTCTCCAAGAGGCTAAGGAACTCACATAAGGTCTTACAGCTAAGAAGTGGGAAAGCTGGGATTCTCACCGTTGTGGTGTTTACAGTATTTACAAAGAAAGCATTCATGCACTACTTATTAAGTTCAATAAGAACGCTTGGAGTACGTTCCTACAGACAAACCAAACCCACTGCAGTCCAGTTGGTCCTGACTCCTAGTGACCCTCTAAGGCAGACTAGAACGGCTCCATAGGATTTGTGAGGATTTACAGAAGCAGACTGCCACGTCTTTCTCTGGTGGAACGGACACGTGGCCTTGCACGTTTGTGTAAGCCCGTGTGTGAGATGTTTTCGGTATGCTTGGATCTTTTTTATGAGGCAGTGAGGGCTCAGTGGTAGAAGTCTTGCCTTCCATGCAGGAGATCCAGGTTCGATCCCAGCTACTGACCCTCCTGGGAAGCCACCACCCATCTGTCAGTGAAGGCTTGTGCGTTGCTAGGCTGTTGAACAGGTTTCAATAGAGCGTCTAGGCTTAGACAGAGTAGGAAGAAAGGCGTGGCAATCTACTTCCAAAAATAAGCCAATGAAAGCCCTGCAGATCTCAACAATCTCTTCCTAAACTGATTCTGGGGATAGCATGTGTCCTTTCATAGTGTACGGGGTCACTGTGTGTCGGAGATTGACTCAAGAGCAAGTGGCATCCATTTTTAAAACGGGGTAAGTTAAGGAGCGCCCCATGGCTCAATTTCCCGCCAAACAAGAGACAGGCCCACAGGTGGATAGTAACACCAGAGAGGTACGCACTCCTTAGAACAGCCAACCACACCAGATGAGCAGCGCAGCCTGGGTGAGGGAGAAAGCTCAGAAGGCAGGAAGGAACGGGAAAGAAGGACAAACAGAAACAGGAGGCTCAGGGAACAAGTGGGAAGAATGCTGTTACTCCGAGGGATTGTGACCTATGTCACGAAACCAAATGTGCATGCACTGTTAACCAGAAAACCAACTGGCTCTTTAACCTATCACCCCAATCACAATAAAAAATCTTTACAAAATTGCTTTAAAAAAGAATGACTCAATGAACTAAAAAGCTGCTTTTCCAAGCCGCCATGACCCTGGGCTCCCGGTCACCTCCCACGCCCGTGTCCCATTGCAGAGGACACGACTTGCCACGGGAACTCCTCACCAGCAGTTTGTGGTACTTGGCCTGCAGATCGCTGTTCTCCTGAGGACAGAGGCAGAGACATAGGTTAGGATGAGGGCTCAGCCCGAGCCCCCTCTGTCCCCGGCTGCCCAGCCATATGCCGCACCTTGTCCCCATCCTTGGTAAGGTGGGGCCCGATGGCCTTGACCTCGTTGTGAAAGATGTTGTGTTGTTCCACCTGCTGATCCACCAACGGTAGCTCCGTCCCAAAGCTCTGGCTGCTCAGCTTGTCCTGGGTGGTGGGAGTGGCACAGGAAGAGAGGCTGGGTGGGGGCCCGGCTGCCCACACTCCACCTGGGATCCTCAGCTCTTAGCCCTGGACCTGAGGACTGTGTTATGTTCCTCACAGGGTATCAATGAGGCAGGGAGAGCTGATAGGAGAGAAGGAAGCGTGGCCACAAAACGGTATGTCCAAGTCCTAAGGTGGGGACTGTGAACTGGAGCTTGTTTAGAAACAGAGTCAGTGAGGATGCCAGGGAGCAGGTGGGGCTGAGCCTCCGTGACTATGTCCTTGTCATAGAGGGGACACCGATCGAGGGACAGAGAGAAGACACCCTGTGAAGAGGCAGCTTCAAGCCAAGGATAGCAGGAGCCACCAGAGCTGGGAGCAGGGAATGGAACATTCTCCCCTCAGCTTCAGAAGGAATGTCTCTGAGGTACGCCTGTATCATCCCCATTTCACAGATGAGGAAACTGGGACTAGAGAGGGGGAAGCAGTTACAAGTGAGGAGCTGAGACACTGGTCTGTGGTGACTCTCCCATGGCCACCACCCCCACCTTGATGAGACAAGGTGGGGAACGAGTGCCGGGAAAACAGCATGGGGTGGCTAATGGGGCTCAGGGTATGAGCCCCTCATCTCCTCTGTGGCCTTGGCCCCCGCGCTGTAGCCCTCTGGGCCACCTATGAACTGACATGGCTCTTCCTGGGCATGGGCCCCACCCCACCGCACCCTGGGCCCTGGACGCCCACTCCCCCACCCCCAGCAGCGGGCTGTACCAGCTTCTCATCCACCAGCGACACCCAGTTGACCTTTGGGTGCACCTCCTTCACTGCCAGGTTGTAGATCTGCTTGTGTTTCCCACGTAGCTTGGTCACACGCTCCCTCAGCTGCCGGATGCTGAGCAGGGACAGCAGGGACAGAAGTCACCTAGTCAGCAGCGGAACCCTACAGTGGGCTTCCTGATCCAGCAGCTTCTCTTGCTATCATCCTCCTCCTCTATCCATTGACCCTTCTAGCCTTTCCCTCCCCACCAATGTTTCCTGAGGGCCTACTGTGCACTCAAAACCATAGAAGGTTCTGGAAAACCCAGGCAAGTCCACTGCCCTCTGAAGGTCACTGTCCCTGAGGGAGGCAACAGGACCCATGAGACAACAGAGGTTTCAGGATGGTGTGAGCCGTGATGGGGACAACTAAGGGCAGGAAGGGTATCCTTGAGACCTGATCCTGGCTGCAGTAGGATGCAGAACCAGCGTGGTGGTATATGACTATGACGGGGCTTCAGAAAGTTGATGGGAAAGTGGAATGAAAAGATAATGGAATTTTTGTACCACCTTTTTGAAGCCAATCAGCACTGGACTGCGAACCACAAGGCCGGTAGTTCAAACCCACCAGCTGCTCCTTGGAAACCTTATACAGGTTGGCTACGGGTCAGAACCAACTTGACGGCACTTAAAAACAACAACAAATACAATCTTTACAGAAGCAGACTAGCACATCTTTCAGGGGTGGAGCAGCTGGTGAGCTCCAACTGCCCATCTTTCAGTTGGTAGCCAAGTGCTTTAACCAGTGTGCCACCAGAGTTCCTTGTTGTTAAGCGCCATCGAGTCAGTTTCAACTCATAGTGACCCTATATAGGGTTTCCGAGGTGCGGCTGGTGAGTTGGAACTGCTGTGTTTCAAACTGACTTTGCGGTCTAGTGCTTATCTCCCGTCAGTCCACTACCAGTGAGTGGACTCTGACTCGTAGTGACCATTCGGGGCAGACGAGAACTACTCCACAGGGTCTCCAAGACTGTCCATCCTGACAGGAGCAGACCATCTCATCGTTCTCCTGCGGAGTGCTGGGTGGGTTTGAACTGCTGACCTTGTGGTTAGCAGCCTAATGCTTAACACACTATACCACCAGGACACCTTAGTATCAGGTTGTTATGTTGTTAAGTGCTGTCAAGTTGGTTCTGACCCATAGAGACCCTGGATAGGGTTTCTGAGGAGCAGCTGGTGAGTTTGAGCCACCAACTTTGGAGTCCAGCGCATTAGCCCACAGCGCCACACCAGGACTCCAGTACCTGGTTAGGCCTCAGTAAATGTCCCCCTGACTTGGGGTGGTTCCTGAATGCTGAGTACCCTCGGTCACCACCCCAAAGCCCAACTGCCCCAGCCCTGAACCACAGTGGACCCCGGGAGACGCGACGCAGTGGGAACCTACTCCTCAGCGATCATGTCTCCTTGGGGATGTTTCATGTGCTTGGCAATGGCTGCGTCGGCTTCCAGCACATACAGCAGCTTCTCTGACTCCGACACCTTCTGTAGGGCCACATCCCGGTGCTCTACCTGCCGGCCCTCCTGAAGCCGGGCCAAATCCTACAAGGTCATCGGAGAAGGAGGACAGTATGTAGGCGCTCAGGAGTGAGGGGACTGAGCTAGGAGGGCTCCAGGAGAGACACCAGCAACAGGCTCCACGGCTGCCCAGCCCACTAAACTCACCGCCCCCAAGTGCCTGCTATGCACACTTGTGGGTGGGAGAGGGCAGTGCCCTGCCCACCTACCTGGAGCTCACCCAGATAAACCAAACAACATCAAGTCATTTTTTACAAAAGAAACACACCGGAGAGGAATTGTGGGGGGAATTACTTTAGCTAAGAACAAAAGAGGAACAAGAAGGGTATTCGAGGCAGAGGGAACTGCTTGTGCAAAGGTCCTGAGGCAGGAAAGAATGTACTGGGGTGGAGGTGTGGCAAAAGGCCCCATGGCTGGAAGGCAGGGTCCTATACCCTTCCTGGCCTCAGTGTTTCCATCTCTACAATGGGAGTCAGAAACACAGCTCCTTCAGGAGAGCAGACAGGTTAATGCAGGAATTCTACTCAGGAACAAAAAGAAAACAGACTACTGACCACTGTGATATCATAGATGAGCCTAGAAAACCTCATGGGGAGTGAAGATGCCAGGCACAGACACTACATTTACGTGAAACACGGAGAGATGCATGCAGACAGGAAGAAAGGAGACAAGCATTTGTCAGGACCAAGGGTGGAACAGCAGGTCACTGTAAACAGGTCCAACTGGCCGATGGAAGTGTCTGAATCTGATTTACAGTGGTGGCCACAGCACTGGGTGACATTACTAGTCATTGAATGGGTCACCTGACACAGGAGCATTTTATGAGATACAAAAATGCCTCGTTAAAGATGGGAAGGGAGGGAGGAGGCGGACAGGTGGCAGGGGAAGGGAGAGGGAAGGGAAGATGGAGAAGGAAAAATGCAGAAAGAAAGAATGACACCTGTCAGAAGGCAGTGGCCGCCTGGACAGAGCTCTTTCAGGAGACAAGCATCAGAGTACCTCTCTGGGTCCTGTGGTTGGGATTCATTGTCAGCTGAGGAGTGGGGGGCAGAGGGGGAGCCCTGGCTGCCCCAAGGGGCTGGGAGGTGAGGTCAACAAGTCAAAGGCCAGAAGAGCTGGCTCCCATCCCACAGCCTGAGGCAGCCTGGCCAGGGTAATTAAAAGCCAACAGACCGGTGCTCCACTTGGGTGGAATTTTATCTGTCCCGCCATTGCCAACTGCTCCCTCATGGAGCCAAAGGTTAAATTTGGAAAGGGGAGGAGGGGAGATATGTGAGTTTTGTAAGAAGGTAGTTCCTCTCCCAAGGCTGCGGCTCAGTTGCAAAGCATATACCTAGCCATGGAGGAGTTCAAAGTTCAAAGCCAGGGTCATCCTAGAGATCAGGTACTGATCAGGAAGTATCATGAGGGGACTGTGATTTTCCTGCCACAAACACATAACCTCATTCTAATCATGAGGAAACATCAGACAAGCCCACGGCAAGGGCAGTTCTCTGAAACTACTGATCGTGACTCTTCATCTGAGACTCACCCAAGACAAGGAAAGATTCAGCACTGTCACAGATCACAGAGACCTATGGAGACGTGACACCCTGTGACACCCTAAACCAAAAATATCACTGAAGTCTTCTTCAAACCAAAGAGTTCAGCTTAGTTAATAAAGAACGTCTGCCTTGAGCCATGTGCTCTTTTAAGAACCATCTAGATGGATTCCTGGTGTGGCACTGCAAGGTCGACAGTTCAAATCCACCAGCCGCTCCTTGGAAATCCTACACAGGGTCACTATGAGTCAGAACTGACTCAACAGCACTTAACAACAAACAATGGGTGGGATCAAACTGACAACAGCAATCTGAAAGGGGGAGATGGGAAACTTAGGGCCTGGTGAGTTTATGCTAACTGGGAGGAAGAACTCAGAAGAAGAGGGGGACAAGGGTTACAAAACTCACAGAACAGAACCAATGTCAGCAAACTGAACCTGTACGAACTATTGGGTTGGGTGTATGTTCTGCGGTGTACATTTTCAGCAACGAAACTAAATTATAAAACAAATCAATAAACACAGCATGGGAATCCTGAACCAGAAAGAGGGCATTTGTAGAAACCTTGTACTTTAGCTCATTACACTGTGCCAATATTAATCAAATTTCCTAGTTTTGATCCAAGGACTCCTGGTGGCACTATAGGGAAAAAACTGAACTGTTAACCTCAACACTGGCAGTTCAAACCCAGCAGCTACTCCTCAGGAGCCAGATAAGGCTGTCTTCTCCTGTAAAGATCTACAGTCTCAGAAACCCTATACAGAAACTCCATGACAGTGGGTGAGTTTAGTTTTGGTCCCTGTAATACTGTTATTAGTGTTATTATTAGGTGTCATGGCAACCTACTCGGTGCAGAGTAGAACTGCTCCAGAGAATTTTTGGAAGCAGTTTGCCAGGCCTTTCTTCAGAGGTGCCTCCCAGTAGGTTCAAACCACCCACCTTTCGGCTAGCAGTTGAGTGTTTTAACAGCCTGCACCATGCAGGAGCTTTAATTATTGCACTCCCACCCTGGAACCTGTTAACATTACAACAAGGGGGCTGAAAGGCATATGGGAATTCTGCATACTATTCCTGTAACTTTCATATAAATCTACAATGATTTTAAAATAAAGAGTTGAAAAGGTATGATGCGGTAGATATTGAGCCACATGGCTGTGATACACTGTCAGTTAATATAATAAGTAACTTAGTGGTAAACAAAAAACGATCCCATTTGGAAGAAAAACAAAAGATGTGTATATGTGCGCAGACACACACACACATTTATCTGAGAGGAAGTCAAGAAGATACACACACCACTGAATAGTTGAAATTTCGGGTGGTAGAATTATCTGTGATTCTAATTGGCTTCCTTACACTTGTTTATCAATCCTGTAGTGTTTATAATGAACACAGATCACTTTTATTAACAGAAAAAAAGTAAGAGAGAGAGAGAGACACACACACACACACCTCTAGAAAAACTGTTTTCATATCAGAAAGGAAAACACTGGAAGGGCCAGAGATAGAAAAAGCAGCAAATCTACAAGGGGAACCGGGGACAAGGGGCTGCCTGGTGGAGGGGAAGGGGGCAGGGTGAGACAGGGAAGGAGCGGGGGCAAGCAAGAGAAAGAGGGCAAGGAGGACTCCTGAGACCCTCCCGGGGTCAGTGTATAGCAGAGAACAGAGTTCTTTCCTGATTCCCCCTATACCCCTCTTGTTTATTCAAGGTCCCCGAGTCCCCCTCAACCAGCCATGCAGGCTCCAGCATCGCCTCCCTGTCCTCTAAAGTCTCCAACCACCTGTGGACAGGCCCTTGGGTAGATGACAAAGGGGGGTGGCAGGAGAATAGATGAGTTGGGCAGACCTGAACCCCACAGGGACTCCCCCACTTCCATCTCCCAGTGTTTCAGATGCCTCCTAAGTAAGGGTGCCAGATGAAATATACGGTGTCCTGCTAAATTCAAACTCCAGATAAACAACAAATCATTTGGGAGCATATTCCAACTGACACATGGGATTGTTGTTGTTGTTGTTACGTGCCATCGAGTCGGTTCCGACTCATAGCGACCCTGCTGTTCAAACTGACCTTGCAGTCCAGCTCATTAACCCACAGCACCACACCAGGACTCCACACATGGGATAGACTTATATTAATATATATGTGTGTGTGTATTCATGCTGAAATTGGAATCAGACTGGACAGCCTATATTTTTATTAGCTGCATCAAGCCACCTCACCCCTGGGCTGTTTCTGGGGTTAACTCTGTTCTGACTGACCACATCAACCATCTCTGGACCTCAGTTTTTCTAACTGAAGAATGGGCTTGAACTCAATCACTCAAGGCTTCAGAGGAGGAGGCTTTAAAGAGAAGGTGGTCATCTTAGTATCATACAGGTGTCACGATGACCAGAGCAGTGTGGAACCACCACGCCATTCAGTCCTCAGGAGAACCAAGGACTTGTGATGGGCTCTAAGCCCTTGCAGTAGAAGGGGAAACTGAGGTCCAGAGAGGCAGAGTGGTTTCCCTGTTATTTTCTCTCCCCACTCTAAAAAAGGGGCGGGGAGAACTACATGGTCCCTAAATATTGGAAGTACAACGCACCTCAGTATGACCACTGGGCAGCATTACTGAAGAGTCTCACTCCATCTTTACAAGAGCCCCCAGAGGTGGGGACGATCGTTAGAGGAAAGCGCATGCACCCCAAGGATATACGACACGCCAGAACGGTTCTCCTCCCAACATGGAAGAATGGGATATGAAGTATGGGTATGAACATCAGTAACAAGTTTCCCTTTACCGTTGGCAATACTACTAAGAGACCTGGGTTGCTCGACTTCAATGCTGCTGACATCTTGGACCAGATCATTCTCTGCTTCAGGGGACGGGGAACACCCTGTGTATTGGAGGATGCAGAACAGCATCCCTGGCCACCACCCACCAGATACAGAGAGTACTGCCTCCCAGTGGTGACATGGAGAAATGCCTCCAGATGGGACCACAGGGGGCATAGTCTCCCAGGTGAGAAGGAGTCCTTTCATGCAGCCATTGATGTTCGACTCAAAGAGACCCTACTGGGCAGAGTACACCAGCTCTGCACTCACACACACACACTCACACACACACCCTGGAAATGAAATACCACAGAACTGATGCCACAGCATTGGGGAGAGTAGCCTGAGCAGCGAGGGGGGGGGGGGGGGGGCACTCACGCTCTGCATCTTGGCTTCTGTGCCCACAATGTTCTTCTCCACCTGGTCGGCATTCTTCTGCAACTGCTCAATCAGCTCCGACAGCTCCTTGTTGGAGATGCTGCAGGACAAGGGTGTGGGCAGGAGGGGAGGTAGGTGTGTGAGTGGTGGGCCGGTGGCAGGGCAGCTTCCTCCCAGGATGTCCCCCACATCAGGCTTGGAGCAGAAGCTGCCTACCCATGACTTCTAGGTCTCCACGAACGACATCGCTAAAACCACAAGGCAGCAATGCCACCTCCCACTTCGGTTGTCCACTCTAATGTTTCTATTCATACCGGGTGAGCATCTCTTGTAAATAGTCATTCCACTACGGTAAAAAAATACATGGACTAGAGGACTTCAAAATGTTCATGGACAACACCCAGTATCTTCGAACTCCATTTTCCCATTAGTTTTCTGAAGCCCCCTCGTATATAAAAAACATCTGCCAAATCAACACTTCTCATGTATGTGATTCCGCAACACTGTTACATTTGTCATGTTGGGCCACCATCGGCACATTCACTCTGTTGTCAAATTGTTTCACCACCACTAACAGAAACTCAGTGCCCCCAAACGACAGATCCCCACTTCCCTCTGCCTTCCCACCCTTAGTAAATGACTCTGTACCTTTGTCTATTCTACGTGTTTTGTGTAAGTGGGATCATATAATCATTATATTTTTGTGGCTGAGCTATTTCGCTCAGCATGCTGTTTTCAAGATTTACCCTGGTGATATCATGCCATCCTTTTACTCCATATTTTACTGAGATTTACATAACCTAAAATTCAGCCTTTAGTAGTATGAGGGGGCTTCAGAAAATCTGTGGAAAAACGAAAGGAAAAGGTAATGGAATTTTCCCAGGAGTTTTTTGAAAACCTCTCATATACACACAATTCAGTGTTTTTCAGTATATTCACAGAACTGTGTAATTATCAAGACTATCTGATTCCAGAACATTTTCATCACCCCAAAAAGGAATTTCATATCCATTAAGCAGTCCCTTCCATTCTCCTAGGCAACCACCAATCAGTTTTCTGTTTCCACGGATCTGCCTATTCTAGAAATGTCATATAAACAGAACCGGGTGGATAAGTGACCTTTCAGGTCTGTCTTCTTCCACGTGGTGTGATGTTTTCAAGGTTCAACTGTGCTGAAGGAGCAAGCATCAGACCTTCCTTCCTTTTCATGGCTCAGTAATATTTCATTGTTTGGAGCAACCACAGTGTGCTTATCTATTTATCCATGGACAGGCATTTAGATTCTTTCCAGTTTGGGGCTCTTATGAATATTACTGCTCTGAACATTTGTGGACAAGTTTTTGTGTGCTTATCTTATGTGGAGGAGCTCTGGTAGCATAGTGATTACCAGTTGGGATGCTAACCTCAAGGTCAGTAGTTCAAAACCACCAGCCGTTCCGTGGGAGAAAGATGAGGCTTTCTGCTCCCATAAAAATTTACAGCCTCGGAAACCTTATACAGGGTCGTTATGAGTCGGAACCAACTCCATGGTGCGCAACCAACACCAACACCTTATTTGGAGTCCTGGTGTGGGGCTATAGGATTAGCACTGGCCTGCTAACAACAAGGTTGGTGGTTCAAACCCACCAGCCACTCCTTGAAAACCCTATACAGGGTCGCTATGAGTAGTTGGAATTAACTCAACGGCACTTAACCAACAACCTTATTCTTCTTAAAAAAAAAAAAACAAAATCCCAAACAAACAAACCCCCCACTGCTGTTCAATCCATTCTGACTCACAGTGACCCTGTAAATGGGGTACAACTGCCCCCATGGGGTTCCCAAGGCTGTAATCTTTACAGGAACAAGCTGCCACATCTTTCTCCCACAAAGCGGTTGGTTGGTGGGTTCAAACCACTGATCTTACATTTCACAGCCTCGTACTTTAACCACTGCGTCACCAGAACTCCTACCATACTCTTACTTAATGTTTTTCCTTCGATCTACTTACTCATCCTTTATCTTTAAACACATTTACTGAAAAAGCCCTTGACATGAATGACCTCCAAGGAGCTGGGGACTGACCCAGTGGTAGCAACAATGTGAGGACGGTGCAGCGTCAGGTGGCATTTCACGCCGTTGTGCATGGGGTTGCTGTGATTCGGAACCAACCTGACGACACCTAACGACAACAATAACCCTCAAGACAAGGTCCATGGAAATAAACATGGGCATTTTGTCCTAGCGGGGCATGTTTGGCCACCTGCACGAGGCCCTGTGTCTGGGCCCGGCCCTCTTATGCTCAGACTGGAGCTGGCATTATCACCAACACTGTAAGTCGAGTGGGCACTGAGCTGAGACCTTCTCCTTGAGGTTCTCAGAGAAGATGGAGAGACTCGAAAACAGACCTGCTCTCTTTCTCATTCAGTATCAGTGTTCCCCGTGACTCCACATGTCTATGCCCCAAATGACATCAAACACCAACTATGGGAAACGCTACTGAGGTTCAGGTAGGACAGGGACTCCAGAATCACACATGGGACAAATCTTGCCTCAGATCAGCCACCCACCAGCTGTGTGACCTTGGGCAAACTGCTCTACCTCTCTGAGAGTCTAGTTTCCTTCTGTCCTAAGGATAACAGTTCCTGCTATCAGTGTGCTTGTCAGTGGGGAGTTAGAAATGGGGACTAAAGGCTTGTCCACACAGGGACTGACACTTTTGGGGATCAAAACCCAGGACCCATGCAAAGTGGGGTCACAGGAACCCTGGTCCTATAAATTCCTCCTAGAACAAAGGCTCTAGCAGTCAAGGCAGTTGGTAAACCCAGTCCCTCCCGGATGACAAAAGACAATGAGTCAGTAAAGACTCTGAGAAGTTCTGTGGTGAGAAAACTGGGGCTCCGCAGAGTGGCCAGACAGAGTGGGTGCCAAGACTCTGGAGGAAAGATGTGGGTGAGGGGTGACAAGGGTAAGTTTCTGAGCCCTTCTACGGCCCTAAACCCTGTGGGCATCGACACACCCACCTTAGTCACCCACCCGCCATTCAGCCATTCCCAGAGTGTCAACCGCAATATTTAACCCAGGAATGTAGGGCCAGCATTAGGAACTTCTTTCTCTCCTGGGCCTCCCCAGCTCCACCTCAGGGCCTCCACCTCAGGGCGTTGGGCCAGCTCCCACACCTGTCCCATTACCTGTTTGGGCAGGTACAGGAAAAACCACCACCTGAGCCCACCCCATGGGGCCCATTGTTCCAGGCCAGGCCCAGCTGGAGGGGTCATAGCAGGGTTAAGGGGCCTCAGGCTCCTGGTGGGAACAAGGAAGGCTCAGACAGACTTGGGATGCAAGCTCCAAGATCCAAGGAATGGATGCCCACTGCTTGCAAGTGTCTGTCCCACTGAGTGTCACTTTGCCCTCTGCTCAGCAGGGACAGCGCAGGTGTCTCAGGGATCTGACACCCCTGCAAGCCTTCTAAGCAACAGGCACAGCCCCCCTCCGCCCCTTTATAGATGAGGAAGAGAAGCGGAGACTAGGATGTCAAGATGCATGCCTGGGGAGTGGGGGGAAGCTTATACACAGTGATCTGATCTGAGCCCTCCCCTCAGGCACTCTTGCTCCTGAAACCAGCTTCCACAGAAGTGCTGGAGGACCACAGAAGTCAGCATCGGCCACCATCACTGAGTCTTGTCGTTAAGTACCGTCAAGTCAGTTCCAACTCATAGGGAACAAGGTTTCTGAGGAGTAGCTGGTGGGTTTAAATTGCCAACCTTGTGCCTAACAGTCCAGTGCTTATCCTACAGCACCACACCAGGATTCCCACTATGAAGATGGTGGTGGGTGTGTGCTATTAAATCAGTTCTGATTCACAGGGACCCTGTACAGGGTTTCCGAGGCTGTAAATCTTTACAGGGGCAGAAAGCTTCAGCTTTCTCTTGCAGAGCGGCTGGTAGATTTGAACTGCAGGTTAAGAGTCCAACTCATAAGCCACTATGTTACCAGGGCTCCTTCATTATTACTACAAGAGCTAAGATTTACTTTCTACATGCCAGGCTCCTGATTTGCTTCTCATTTAATCTTCTTTACAACTGCATGAGGTAGGTGTCTACCACCTGATGGGTCATCGTATAATGATTCCCACTTTACAGATGTGGAAACTGAGGGCTAGAGAGGCAAAGTCAATTTCTGCTAATACGGCAGAGTTGTGATTCCAATCTGGGCTGGCCCCATACTCCAAGCCATCTACAACCCTCGTGATGATCTTACAGGCTCCCACCAGTAGGCCCTTAGCAGAATGATGTAAAAATGTTACCACTTCATACCAGCTAGAATTTAAAAAGACAGATAATAACAAGTGTTGGCGAGGAGTGAAGAAACTAGAGAGCTCATACACTGCTGGTAGGAAGGTAAAATGGTACATCAAAAACGGAAAGCAGTTTGGCGGTTCCTTAAAAAAGATCCTCAAACCTAGTGGCAGCATTATTAACACCAGCCAATACATGGAAACCACCCCAATGTCCACCCACAGATGAATGGATAAACTGCGGTATATATTGTTTTACTGTATGTCGAAGATACTGTATTGTTCACACAATGAAAGTTTGTGTCAAGCAAGTCTGTCAGTACCCGTGTTCCAGCAGCATGTGTGCATGTGTTCACCTTGTGTCTCTGTGGCCCATGTTGGTCATTCTCACCATATTCTAAGCAAACTTTGTCGTCATGCTGTGGCACATTTAATAGGCGGCAGCCTAGTGCCAACCTAACTTTTAAATGCACTGTTGTTGTATGCTGTTGCATCAATTCTGACTCACAGTGGCCTTGGATAATAGGGTTTCTGAGGCTGTATATATCTCTGCTCTGGTAGCGTAGTGGTTACGAATCGGGCTGCGAGCCGCAAGGTCAGCAGTTCGAAACTACCAACTGTTCCGCAGGAGAAAGATGAGGCTTTCTGCTCCCGTAAAGATTTCCAGCCTCGGAAACCGACTCCACGGCACATAACAACAACAACAAATATCTCTGCTAGCGCAGAAAGTCTCATCTTTCTCCTGAGGAATGCCTGGTAGACTCAAACCACCAATATTGTGGTTCTCAATCCAGTATTTACCCTACGGAGAAATCCTACAGAGAAATCCTACGGAGCCACCATGCCCCCTTATATGCACTGTTGTTGATGTTAAGTGCTGTTTAGGCAGATCCTACTCATAGAGACCCTATTTAGGGTTACTGAGACTACAAGGCTTTGCAGGAGCCAAAGCCTCACCTTTCTACCACAG